CTCGAGAGCGAGATGGCGCCAGGCCGGAAGCAGCAGCAGCGACAGCTCAAGCGAGATGTCGGAACGGCAACAGCAGTCAACCGCGATGAGTGTGACACGACCCCGAGTGACGAGACACGGCTGCGACACGACCGGCGACCAAATGACCGATTGAAGGATGACGCGATCTTGAGCGTGACTTTCGGGTCAATTCGGATCAACCTGTGGGTTAGCGGGTCAACCTGAAACCGACCTGTTTCAGAAACGGGTTGACCCAAACTCAGATTTTTTTGAGTCGGGTTTCGGGTCGTGTCAATTTTTGACACCACTAGGGTGAATGTGAATAAAATGGGCATGGGCATACTAACTAACTCGATCCATAAGCCAATCTTCTTAAAAAAGATGCTTTTAAATGGGACACGACTACCTCCACTGCTTTTCAAAATTTAAAACTGGCCATGACTTTTTCCCGTGTTAGCTCTATCTGATTTCAACAAACCATTTGTATTAGAAATAGATGCCTCTAACACCACTATTGTTATCGTTTTATTGCAAAACAATCATCTAATTGCTTTCTTTAATGAGAAATTAGGTCTTCACTTGTCTCAATCCTCCACTTATCTAAAAGAATTCTACGACATTACTGAGGTTGTTGGCAAATGGTGCCAATATCTCTCAGATAGTCAATTTATCATTTGCACCGACCATAAAAGCCTTGGAGAACTACTTAATCAAATTTTACAAACCCCATCAGTAATATTACCTTCATAAACTTTTAGATTTCAACTCCATCATTGAATATAAGCCCCGAAATCTAATATCATCGCTGACTCCTTACTCGTATACCAAATGCTAAGGAGTTTTCTACCTCTTCTCTTACTTCATTGTTTTCATTAATTACAAACTTTTATTTCTCTTTTCTTCAATAATTAAACAGGAATTTCTCACGTCCCCAAAGATACTTCAAATTACATCACAATTGGCAAAAGGGTAACTCTCCATGAAAAATTACCATATCAGGGATAACCCTTTATATTATAAACATTGCATTTACATTAGTGAAGATTATGGCCTGAAAAATACTTTACTTACTGAATTTCATTCCACCCCTCTTACAAGTTATAGTGGTACACTTCAAACCATCAAACACCTTATTGCAAATTTTTACTAGCAATGCTTACATAATGATGTTGCTGAATTTATTTGTCAGTGCAGCATTTTTCAAGAAATCAAGTTCTTGAACATGGTGTTTGCTGGACTACTCTCTCCTCTTCCAGTACCTTGACAAGCTTGGGATAATTTGTCCATGGATTCAACAACGGGTCTACCAAATTCTAGAGGTTACACTACCATTTTGGTTGTTATTGATCGCCTTTCCAAATACACTCATTTTAGTCCCCTACCCACCACATATTACCCACCACAAATTTAGCCTCCCAAGTTGCCACTCTCTTTGCCAAAATGGTAGTCCATTTGCACGGTTTCCCAAAATCTATTGTCTTAGACAGGGATAGTACTTTTTTAAGTAAATTTTGTCATCGTCTTTTTACTCTAACTAACACAACACTTCACCATAGCACATTGTATCATCCATAACAGATGGCCAAACTGAGGTCCTAAATAGATGTTTGAAATAATACCTTCGTTCCTACACTTTCAACACACCAAAATTATGGTCTACCTACCTATGTTAAGCCGAACTCTCTTATAATACTTCTTTTCACATAGCCATTAAGATGTCTCTATATCAGGGCCTCTATAGATATTTACCTCCACCAATACCTTCCTATGTCAACAGCACATCAAACATTCATACTCTAGATTCATTAATAACCAGTCACCAGACTCATTTACAAACCCTCTACACTAATATGTAGCAAGCCCAACATATAATGAAATAATGGTTGATCGTAAATTACAATCTTTTCTCCAAAATTTTGTAGTTAATCGTACCCACACCAAACAAGCCAAATGTTATTTCGGCCCCTTTTAGGTTCAATCAATTGTCAGTAAAGTGGCATATCAATTAACTCCTCCTCAAAGTAAGATTCATCTAGTCTTTCATATCTCTTTCCTCAAACCTTTTTTTTGGCACCCCTCCCTCTACCATTACACCCCTTCCTCTTCTTCGCCATAATAACCAACCGCTAAGCTTACCTTATGTCATACTCGCTATCCGCATTATCAAAACACATGAACAACTTCTTAAACATGTTCTTTTACTAAATCATCCATATTGTTATTCCCGTATTAAGATGCTGTTTATTGCCTTGTATGCCATTTATCTATACAAGATTTACTTTGAATTACGTAACTAGTTTAAATAGGTAATACAACCAAGCTAAGTAAAAATCTAAGACAGAACGATAAGCAAAGATAAGAAAATGGGAGCAAGAAAAGCTATCATTAAAGTCATGGTTTGCCTGTGGATAGGCTTTGAATTTTTACCATAGATCACACATCTCATAAACTTCCTTAGGGCGTAGATGGCACTTAAATAATTCTCATAATATATTGAGCCTAGCCTATGTTTGATCTTTGAAACAACTTGATACCTTTTTCTCAACATTTATTTGCCATGTTGCAGCCCTTTTTTCCTTCTTTTTTCAATATGCTCTTAAAGTAGTCCCTTTCATTAAATTCTTCAATTTGTAATAAAGAAAAAAAAAAGATCTTCTTACTAAAAAAGTAAAGGAAGATCATCTTTTTTTTTCTTCTCCCTTTTTCCTTTCTCCGATTTGAAACATTTTATTTGAAGAATATTTAAAATTGAAATTCAAAACTATCAAACACTTAAAGCAAAATCCATCCACCCTCCGCAACAGTTTGCTGGGTGGACAAATTGAAGTTTACTTCAGCTCACAAAGAGCTAATGCTTAGTCGAAAATATCACTATAATCCATTCTTAAACAATCTCATGCCAGTAAGGATGTGGTACGTGTCCTCTTACCGACGATTTTATCGCTAAATGGCACTGCAGGATAAACAGTTATGACCCGGGGCCCTCTGAACCGAGTGATTTTTCACCAAATGGCACCAAGAGATAGCGGTTATTGCCAGAGCCAATACGCTCCTTAGTGGCATCAAATTATTGAGATATAAATCAATAAGATATAATCGATAGGGCACAAAGCCCTCTGTTAGCTAAGGTGGATTCAAATTTGTCCCCTTAGACAAACATTCATCCCAGGCCTACAAGGTCCCCTTGGACGAAGCAACCCATGGCTGTCGACGAGGATCCTTCTATCAAGTGGGTCAACTACCTCCTCTGACTAAGTAGACTATGGGCCACGATGGTCTGGGACGACAGAACCATGGGATCTTGATTGGGCCCATCATCCATTCCCCCACCATCCACTTTGAAGTGCGAGATAGTGAAATTTCAAATTTTAAGTATCAAACATTTCAAATTCCAAATTCCTAAGCACAATGCTGCTACTATATGCCATATGCACATATTCTCTACGTATGTGATCGACGACTAGCCTTAATCGAAAGTTCTCTCTTGTTATCGGGAGGGATAATTAATTATAAGGGCTTGCGCCTATAGAAAACCAGAACTCAGATCATAAAATCCTCACAAAATGAGGACAAAATCTCTGGGTAATGTCTTATCTACAAACCCATCTGTTAAAACTCCCCAGAAGAAAAATCATAGCGGGCGGAGGCTATGGCCGAATTTTTGGAGCCCACAAGTCTAAAGGTTTTCTCTTGAGTAGATGTAAAACTGAATATATGGAGTGTAATTTTAGTAACAATGGAACTAGTGAGGGGATTGTGACTTTGGGCGATCAAGTCATTAATAAGAGTACACATTTTAAATATCTTCGATTATTGTTCAAAGTGATGGTGAAATTGATGGGGATATTATCAGTAGAATTCAAGTTGGATGGTTGAAGTGGAGGAATGTATTGGGCTTATTGTGCTATAGAAAAGTCCCTCTCAAACTTAAGGGAAAATCTATAAGATGGTGGTGAGACCTGCAATGCTTTATGGTGCCAAATGTTGGCCATTAAAAGAGAAGCATAATAATAAGTTAAGTGTTGCAGAGATGAGGATGCTTAGGTGGATGAGTGGCTTGACCCTTATAGATAGGATACGAAATGAGCATATATATGAAAAGGTTGGAGTAGCTCCAGTGGAATATAATATTAGAGAGAGTCGCCTTAGATGGTTTGGTCACATTAAACGGAGGCCTTCCGATGACCCGGTTAGGAAAGTTGAGGTATTATATTTGACTTATGTTAAGAAAGGTAGAGGTAGACTAAAAAGACTTGGTTAGAAAATATTGGAAATGACCTTTCTTTATTAGAAATGAGAATTTAACTTTTAATCGGACACAATGGCGAAAAAGGATTCATGTAGCCGATCCCAAGTAGTGGGACAAAGGCTTGACGTTGTTGTTGTCGTTGTTGCATTAACTTATAATAAGAATACTTAGGTGTTAATTGAATAAGCTGACAAATTGGTATTAGTTTATCAATATATTAAAACTCATTATTGAACAGTAATTACCTTAATGAATTTTCACCTAATTAACCATCTATTGTTAACTTAAGCTAATTAAGGATTTATTAGGCTATTTACTATTGTGTTAATTAGGGTTTACTCAGACTTAACTAGCAAAAAAGTAGTATGCTAATATATAAATAACTTGAGTATAATACTTACTTAATGACTAGGATGCTAAGTTAAGCTAACTAGGACTAACTATGGTTTGCTTGATAGGGTTAATTAAGAATTACTTATACTAAGATATATATTAGTTAATCAGTATTTGATTTTTCTAGTAATTAATAAATAATTATGATTTTAATTTAAGCTACTTAGGCACTCCCTCCCTCCCTCAAGCTAGTTAGGCACTCACTGCCTCCCTCTTTGATAGGAATAAAAGATAAAAAAGGATTTAGATCCTTTTAATCCACTACTTGCATCCAAACAGCATATATAGTACTAGAGGATACCACAGAACCAATCAACCAGTAAATTGAAAAACTTCCACAGAGAAACGCATGCCTGACCTTCTTATCTCGAGGAAAATCATTCAGCTTTAAAAACATAGCTGCCGCATACGAAGACGAGAATATTTCTTCCTGATAGTTGAAATAAGAAAAGAACATTAAAATAACAAACCTTTGGCCAAATCCCGTAAATCCGAGTAGTAGCGGGATTTGAATTTACAAGGATTTACCGGATTTACAGCGTAAATCCGCAAATCCTGGATTTACGGATTTGCCGTATTTACAGCGCCATTTTTAGCGTTTGGCTGGATTTACCGTAAATCCTACTTCAAACGGGAAATAAATCCGATACCAAACACCCCCCTAGGATGAATTCTCCTGGTAATTAAAACCCACAAACAGCAGAACAAGCAAAAGAAAACCAACAGAATACCTCGCTGACATCGAGACCAAGAGAAACGAACTTCCTCGCGTACTGCCTCCTCGATTTGGTAGAATTATTGGTCACAAAAACAAGCCTCTTCCCCTACATAAAAGCCAAGCACTTCACACTCAGATCCAAATTCCAAACTAAAAACCAGTTTCTTCCAAAACGCTAGCTTGAAGTTAAATATCACTATTACCAATACTCGGAGGGCGTGCAGCGCTTCGGGGACACCATCGATGAGCTTATCGCCCTTCCAAATGACTCCTAATCGATACCCATGGAACCAAGAGGTTTAAAATGGGGATAAATACATGAAGAGCTAAGAAGCAAGAGTAAAAGAGATGGAAGAGAAACCATCGCAATCGAATAGGAACGCATCAACGGATCGGATAAGATTTGTGGCGCTCTCGGAGGTGAGTGCACGATGAATACAGCCCTTGCCCACCCCATTATCAATCATTTTCTCTTCTTCCAGGACCATCACTTCGGACTTCTCGTCGGTCATGGCCTTCTCTTCTTCTAATACCGTCACTTCGGACTTCTCTTCAGCCATGGCTTTTACAGCGTCAAAAAAAAAAAAACTGAAAATAATGCGGACTGCGGAGGAAGCCAAAGGGGACTCTTCTACATTTGTGGGAAGAGTAAAATCTCTTATTTTTCAAAGGAGACTATCAAAGGAATATTCGCCAACGCCTTTCCGACCAAGGTTGGAATTGTTGTGGCCAATAACTTAGGAGTGAATAAAGTTAGCTATGTTTTAGAATTTTGTGCAAGAATTTATGTAAGTATGTATGTGCAAGTTAGTAATTGATAGAGCACACTTATACATATTATTGCATGTTTTCAACACTAGAAAAATAAAATTTGCATCTTAACTTTATATAAAGATTTAACACATACAGACTTTATGGTCAACTACGTTCATTAAACTGGTTAGTAATAGCAAATGAAGAAGTCGATAGACATCAATCTTAGCTTCAAGGATATGCATCATCCTTATAAATAAAGACATTGATCAATACTATTGGTGATAGTGAGCATCAATATTTGTTTCGATGATGTGTATCAGCCTTATAGATGATGTCATATCTTGATATTAATAGTGAGGAAGTTGACTGGTGATGATAATTAGGAGATCAATTTAAAAAACAGTGGTCATAAGACAACATTCAGGTGACGATTGTTGTACGCTCGTTGTCAGGAAACAATGGTCGTGCAACGTTTATTATTGCTAGTGATTGTCAATATCAAATGTTAAGTGAACTCTAAAATTCATCATTTCTCTCAACTCCTTTCCATTTCAAATAAAAATTCAAACATCAAACTTCTTTCATGTGAAGAATAATGATCTATTTATAGTTTATTTAAGTTACATGTTGTTGCTTGATAGTACGAATATATAAAGAATCTTTTATTTGTATATTATTTATTGCTATATGAGATTGATTGTAAAATTAATTAATGATTTTTCTTTATTCATCACTAATGTTTTAGAGGACTTAAGCTTCAAATTTTTATTGTAATGTTGTATGTAGTGTTTGGGTTGCCCAATCCATTAAAGATAGTTATTTGGAAGTCACTATGGATATTTATTTTTAATGTGCAAAGCATACAACTTATATGGTTGAGTGGATCATTATAATTAAGCACTCCTTGAGTGGATCCTTTAGGTTTGTATTCACACTAACAACTCTATTCATCATTGTCTTAGGCTTCATTTGAGACAATTTTCTGACCGTTATATAAAACAGCTTTCATGTAAAAAATTTCAAATTAAAAAAAAAAATTGTACTTAGAATCTGCTTTCATAAGAAAGCTAGCTCAAATTTTAAATTTTGTTTAGTGTAGCTTTCTCATTACTTATTTTTTAAGTAATAATCATAATTTTATTTGGCCATCAATTTTTCTTACTTTTTCACTATTTTTCAGGTATTTTTATGATAAAATTTTATTTTTTTACAATCAAAATAATTAAGTTACTTTTCTTACAGCAACTTCTTAAAACAATTTTATAAAAAATTATAATCATCTCAAATAGACCTTTGATCTTAATAGAATCAAGAAAGCATTCAAGCTCTATTAGCAATATGCCCAAGAGGAGCCACCTTTCAATATCAAAATTCACATAGAACTTATCTTTCTAATCTCAGATTTTTCATATTTGAGTTGAATTTAGGTGTTAGAAATATAAAATGAATATTAAAGATTTAATTAAATATTAAAGAGTTATATAAATTAATATCAAAATTTAGGTGTTCGAAATATAAAATACATAAAAATTGTGATGTATGTAAATATCCCTGCAACAATTCTTTTTTTTTTTGGGAAATTTGGGGCCTAAGCCCATATATTGCTATCAGAAGAGAAAATTACAAGTAAAAAAAAGATTACATGTAAAACTCCTACATAAGTAAAAACAAAAACTTATGGAGGACAAAATAAAGGGAAAAACCCAACTATACCACCCTTTACTATGTAAATACATTAAAAGAGCCAAAATAGTGGTAAAAGCACAAAAAGGTCTTGAAAACTTGCATCCTTGCGTCCAATCAGCAGAACACAGCATGAGAGCAGATGGATCCAGAAAGGAGAATCGCCAGACCCAGAAAATCCACTGCCTGCAAAGAGAAACAGCAATACCAAGCTCCCTAGCACCAAAAACAGCAGCTTTTATTTCATCATTGTGCACATAAGTGGTGAGAGAATTCGCAATAGAGGCAGGAAAACCATTCCCTGCAGGAAAACCATTCGAAGACAGAAGGGAAGGAGGGGTGGGATTGTATAGATCTTGGAAGTGCTGTATGATAGATGCAATAACTTCATTTCTAGCCATGTTAGGAGAAGAAGCCAACAAGTTACATACCGACTTGGAACTTCCTCTCCTACATCTAATCTTGCCATATAGAAATTTGAGATCATCCTCTCCATGTCTCAACCAATTCACCTTTGCCCTTTGAATTATCCAAGAAGCATGCATTTCATTGAAGTCCACAATCTTAGCATTGATATCTTTTAAGGAAGAGTTTAACAAGATGTTGTTGGGGTCAACATGTAATTTGTCCAATAGTTCCCTTTGAGAGGCAAGCAAGGAGTCAATGTGTCTAGAAACAGAATTATAACTCGACCAGGTCTCTTTCTTAATGTAAGATTTCACATATTTAAGAGTATTGCATAAGTGAATGAGAGGATTACCAGAAATCGGGATAGAAAAAGCATCTAAGAATACTCCAATACCTGCAACAATTCCAAATGGCCTAAACATACAGAGAAAACAAAAAAGATTACAAGCAGCTCAATGATCATTTCCAAGCCGAAAATCAACCAATCACAGCTCAAAATCAAATACATAAACAAATAAGTGTGATATCAATAACAGCCAGACATCTGCAGAGAACAAAACCACACAAACCAAGATGTTTGCCTCTTAAATGAATCAGAAAGATGCAGAAATTGAAGTAAAATTTATCATTTGATGCGCCCTTTCCACTTTTTCAATGGGAAGATAGTTACTTTGGTGTTTGGAATGTAACTTGTAGCTCCTGTATGTCTTAATCTGGAAATAGCTACTCTTTGGCCCTCATTTTCCTTCTCATCTGTGAATGGCTTCACTTCAAATGTACCTCTAGAAAATCCTCTAGCAACCTGACACAAATGAGAGGGAACAGAGCAGTGAACTTAAAACTGTGGAAAGAAGAGAACCTGTAAACTAGTTTACATGTTTGTAGACTGGAAAAATTATTAGGTACATCCGGACTCTAATAAAATGTTGACATGTGGAGTGAACGCGTTGGATTTATTTTATACTTTATATAATTAATATGTCCGCGGAACTTTAAGCCAAGCGCAGCCAAAGCACAGGTAAAGTGCAGGTAAAGCACAAGTAAAGCGCAGTCAAAATGCAGGTAAAAAAGTGCAACAAAAGAACAGTCAAAGCGCAACTAAAGTGGAGAAAAAGCGTAGGCAAAGCGCACAAAAAAACACAACCAAAGTACACTCCACGTGTCAAATTTTAAGTGGATGTCCGGACGTATCTCTAAGTCCGGTCTCCGCACCTAATAATTTTCCCGCAGACTGATTGCCTGAAAGATAATAAGTAGCAACCAATTTACTGAGAGAGAGAGAGAGAGAGAGAGAGAGAGAGAGAACCTTCAGTAAAATCCACACTTTTAACGCACTACTCAGGACGGCCAGTTTGGTGCGTTTTCCAGATGTTAGGTAATTGCACATGAATCGATCCACCCTCAGCACAAATTGTGGCCAGGATTTTACATTCTCAGGATCTGGTTTATGATCCATGGCGGCCTAAAAGAATCATAATTGTTTAATAAAATAGCATAGAAGTTTAAAAACACCAACATATATATATATATATATATATATGAATGGTTGATATTTAAAGACAAATAAATCTACTTTTTTGAATTTTAATGTACTATTTAAATCACTTTATATCAAAATCTTTCAAAAATGTGGACGAATGGTATAAGAGGAGTGAGAATAAGCCTTTCTATCCTTCTAAGAAGGTAGTAGTCTAACTGACCACACACTCCAAGGCTAAAATTAAATTTTGATCATCTTAGCTCTGGACCAATCAAGTGCACAATCAATCAAATGAGAAATAAATACTAGGTTTACTAGGAGAATTCAAAAGGAAAAAAAAATCATGTGAACCTAACTATATGAACAATTTCCATCATGGGCGGATCCCCACACAAGTAAGGGTGGGCAAATGCGCACCCTAAAAAAAAAATCTAATGTATTAAAAGGGTACTTTTGAAATTTTGCTCACCCTCAAAAATAAGTTTTGCCATAAATTTATCAATGCTATGCGTGTCTGCCCATCCCGTCTTCCGATTTCCGAACAGCTCTCGCAAGTCGCGTCTCTCAAACTGCAGGCGCATTCGACATAGCAGCCTTTGTCTTGGCTATTCATCGTCATACTTCGCAACAGCCTTCATCTTCGCCCTTGTCATCTTCTTCGCAGACTTGCAGCCTTCGTCTTCTGCGCGTTTTGCTATGTTCGATTTCCTATTGAAGTTAATCTGGCCAATCTCGCCTCTCTAATCAGACAGTTCTTTTTTTAAAATAATTTGTTTTTAATGCTCAGAGAAGTGAGAATCAATATCATCTTAGCTCTGGACCAATCAAGTGCACAATCAATCAAATGAGAAATAAATACTAGGTTTACTAGGAGAATTCAAAAGGAAAAAAAAATCATGTGAACCTAACTATATGAACAATTTCCATCATGGGCGGATCCCCACACAAGTAAGGGTGGGCAAATGCGCACCCTAAAAAAAAAAATCTAATGTATTAAAAGGGTACTTTTGAAATTTTGCTCACCCTCAAAAATAAGTTTTGCCATAAATTTATCAATGCTATGCGTGTCTGCCCATCCCGTCTTCCGATTTCCGAACAGCTCTCGCAAGTCGCGTCTCTCAAACTGCAGGCGCATTCGACATAGCAGCCTTTGTCTTGGCTATTCATCGTCATACTTCGCAACAGCCTTCATCTTCGCCCTTGTCATCTTCTTCGCAGACTTGCAGCCTTCGTCTTCTGCGCGTTTTGCTATGTTCGATTTCCTATTGAAGTTAGTCTGGCCAATCTCGCCTCTCTAATCAGACAGTTCTTTTTTTTAAAAGATTTGTTTTTAATGCTCAGAGAAGTGAGAATCAATGAATAGCAAAGTTCTGTACCAAACTACCAATACCAATGATCTGTTTTTTTTTTTTAATGATATGTTTTTGCACCACGCAGCCTTCCGTATTGAATAGCAAAGTTCTGTAGGCTTTAGCATTGATTTTCTGCAAATTTGTGTAGAAATGATTTTTTTCTGAATGACAAAGTTATGTAGGCTATAACAATGTTTTTTTTTTCTAAATAGCAAATTTCTGTTGAAATGCTTTTTTCCTTAATAGAAAAATTTTGTAGCAATGATTTTTTTTTAATAGCAATGTTCTGTACCAATAAACTTAGCAAACATATCTGAATCTGAGGAAGGCCGAGGGGGGAAAATAAGTATAACCAATCTAAGACAACTGAGGAATGACAATTGTTAGGAAATGATGAACAAAAACAAAGAGAAATAGTTTAAAAATTCAAAAATATTCTTACAACTAAAATTTGTTCATAAAATGCTTGATCGGGCAGGTCGAACCCCGTAAGAGGGCGTTGAACCCCCGACATATATGCAAAGCGTACAATGATCAAGGATATGAACAAAAAGGAGTCGAGCCAACTTCAAGGCAAAAAAAATCTCTACACTTTTTGCCCCCCTAAAAATTAAGGTTGGGTACGCCCCTTATTTCCACCATAAATAATACTAAGTTACAAATATTGTCCTCTTTGTAAGTTGGTGATTTAAAAAACAAGGCATCTAGTATGCCAGTTTGATAGGCATGATATTAATAATTATCAATAAAAATATTATTAAAAAATAAATAATACTCAAGTGTGATATAATTAAATATTTTGAATCCATTCTATAAAAGAATAGGATATGGATGATGATATAACTTCCAGAATTATGATTGGATAGCTAAAATAAAGTTTAGTCAAGGAGCCAGGAAAGTAAACTTTATTATAATTAAGGTTAGCCATGTTGTATAAATGCAGTGTTGCAATGATAAAAAATTTATTTATAGCTGAATCAAGTAGCTAAAAAGAAAATGTTAAGATGGATATGTGATAAAACAAAACATTATAAATTAAATAAATAATCATGTTAGAGAAATGGTTGAAGTAATGTCTATTAAAAGTAAGATGGTTGAAAATAGATTTAAATAATTTAGACATAAATAATAAATGATAGAAAATGCACCCATTAAATAGGTAGAAAACATTATGTTGAAGGTTCAAAGAGGAAAAAGTATAGACCTAAAATAATGAATTGAAATTGTCCAAAATGTTTTGCTAAAAATAGATTTTAACATCTCAAAAATACTTGAATTGTGCTAGGTGACGACCTAACGACACAAATGGGCCAAAACCTATAAAAGCATTATATGGTATTTTAAGGATAATGAATAGTAAGAATGAGCAAGAAAATAGAAATTTAAATAAAAATTTACTTTCAGTAATTGACTAGCCTGGTGGAATTAAATGACTATACACTTGACCACTAGTTTTCATTTTCCAGCAATATTTATACTTGTTTTTTATTCAATCTTTCATGCAATTAATGAACAAAGCATATCTCGATTTAAAATTTACTATAATAAGCTAGTTATTTCTTTGAATATTAATGCTCCTTCTAGCATATGACAGCCTATGATCAAAAGTTGTTTTATAAGTTCAAGCAACTTATATGAGAGTATGAGACAACAAATGAAAGCAAAAAAAGCTCGCTCAGCTATAAAAAAATAAAAGTTCACTCTTTTAAATTGAAATTTCAAATAAAGCTCTACACAAACCAGTTGAATAACAACGGGCATGTAAATGCATCTTATAGCTAATTCAACTACAAGAGAAATAAGTGAAGTCTTAACTTTAAAATCCAAAATGGGAATGACAGAGGCCTCTAATCAGATGTCTTTTTGCAAGAGTAAACATTTTTTATAAACAATGCAAGGAAATAATCCAAGGGAAAACAACTCGAGTACTTCACTCACAAGTAATCGGCAAATTTCATGTTCAATCTTTGAAAATGATGTTTCTATGGCTTCAACACGTCCAGTTGCGTGACAACAAGAGCATGGCTCACTAATCATGAATGTAACACTGGGACGAACCTGGAAAGAGAATTATCAGCTAAAGAATGTTGGCATTCATCAACAAGTAAATGAGTTTATGCCCAAAACATCAATTTTCATTGAACGAAATGGATGTAAACAAAAACGACTGCATAAAATTTTCCTCTTTTATTACTTTCTACTCCTATCTGTTTATATGATAAAAAATACACTAGCAGAATTAAACACAGATGAATCATGAAGGGAAGCTGATAAGTGCCATGGGAAATATCAAGTTTCTCATAGTATTTTCTACAATAATGGCCAGAAAGCTAGACCAGGAGTAAATAAAGCTACCCCGAACTTCGAATAATATATATTTTCATTTGGGATAAATACTATTCACATACATGGATATTTTGACAGTGCATCATATATGCAATTGTCAGCATATGATATAAAATATAGGAGAGATGTATGAAAATGTCTCATATGTATATCCATACGGACACAAATAGATGCATATCTGTTTATAGGATTCTGTTAACGTACGAGTCTATAGTTATTTTTCATGAAAGACCATATTTGTATCTTTTTTTTTTCCTTCTTTATCCTAGAATTCGTATTGAAGTGTACTTGGTCCCGTGTAATATTCATACTTCATAAGCCTGGGAAGGAATTACGTAGCTAGGAGCGTGATCAAAACTAAAAACAAAAGAATGATTTGGTACTCTGACGATTAATTACCCTCTTTCTGGTTATTTCCATCAATCCATGTTTGGATAGCTCAGATACTTTGACCATTGAATGATCTCTTTCGACTGCCTTCTTCATCTCTTCAAATATTAACCTCTTATTTGCTGAAAAGTGAAAATTAGTTTTAACCCAAAAAAAAGAAGGGTTTGAAAAAACAGTATTTGTAGAGGAACATGCGAATTGTATAAGCACTGTTGATGCACATAAAACCAGTTAATGGATAACAAAAACTAACAAAACATTCATAATAGATGGTGATCGTGTCTTAAAACATGCATTTGAAATGAACAAAATTGAAAAACCTTCATAGCAAGATATAAATAGCTAGGATATCTACGTTTTTACAAAAATGAGACTCATGAAATGTGCTCAGCGGTGAAAATTTCAAAATCAACCATTTTTTATTTGTTTGCTCAGTTTTGCACCATTTATTACAACCCATGAACGATCAAAATTGTTCAAAAAGGGAGCAAGAAGTCAGGATAGGGTGCAGGGTCAAATTTTGAAATCTAGAGACTTGCCCATGGAAGCTAATTGGGACGACATATAGACTATTTAAGTATATATATTAATAATATTAACAAGTAAAATAGTCAACATACCAATATACATCATTATCAAAATCAAGGTTTAAAATTGCATAATTGGGTATTGATGTATTTTTCATTTTTGAGGCGAGACATAAGGCTCAAAGAGTTTTGAGGCGGAAGCCTCAAAATTAAAAAATTGTGTAAAATGAAAATAAAGGTTAAAAGCTATGATGCACAGACATGGATACGGCGACATTGACACGACACAACACGGACACATAATACGTTAATTATTGAAAATACAGGATATAAACACAAGATCAACACAATATTATAATTTTTATATCTTAATATGACTTTTCTCATTTTCCCTTTTCATTAAGATTCAATTATTCATAACCTATATCTGTAGCATCATTCTGTAGCATCACATTTCAGCATATAGTGTTTATCAAATAATTCAAATAACAAGTAATTATCTTAAATGAATCAGTACTAAACAACATGCTTAATATAAAATAATTACTACCACAATTACCATAAGTATATAAAAATGCTCTTATTTTGCTACAATATAGGTTGGGTATCTCACCTCGTTCTCTAGAGTAATCAGGTAAATTTGTTCACCTGAAATACCCCATCCTCTTTTCCTTTTATATACAACCTAAAGAATAGATTTTATCATTTATAAATGCATTTTAATAAAAAGAAAGCTCTGACCATAAAATCTTAAAGAAGTTCTTCGGCGCCCTCTCCCTAGTGGTAACTTCGTTCATCTCTTGGATCTTCTATCTCCGCCAAAAGTCCACTACCTCTTGAGTGATACGGCCCCAAGGTGAACTCCTCATTGCTAAACGTTGGGTTTTGTTGTTGTACTTTGCATATTAAATTCGCCTAGAACTTTGAAAGAATCGTTTTGGTTAATCTTGTTTGCGAACTCTTTCGCCTAAGCAAAGTTAACGTTTCGACATCTTAACCCAATCTTGCATGATCCCATAAAATTATAAAAGCAAACTTTAACAATTCTCTTTTTAATTTTGAACGTAACTCCTAGTAGTTTCACATCACTAAGCCTCCTTCCTCTACTTCCCTTCATTCCTTATTTTCTTACCCGATTTCAGCAATTTCTCCCACAGCAAGCCCGCTTCAACACGCAGCAGCTCGGGGCCTGCTCTCTGTGTGAACTTCAGAGAGCTACGAGCAGGTGGGGAAGAAAGAATGGTAAGGGCTAATGCTTAATAGTGCTTAACTTATATATAATATAATATACTAATACAAGTTCCACTACTGATTTCCCAGTTCATTCTCAACTCTTAATTACAACACTCCCTCATCAGTCCCTTGCATGCTTTTAATTAGTGGAAATGCTACATCAATGCATTTAAATAGTTTTTTAAATGACTGGTTTAGCTATAGTACTTTAAATTAAATTTTAAATAAATATTAATTGAATATTTATATATCAAAATGTTAAAAATTTAAAATAGAATTTAATGAAATTATATTTGATGTTTTCTGGAGCTATGGTAAAATGGGAAAAATTTTTTAGCCAAAAGTTATGCTCACCTTTTGAACATTTTGGGCATTATATTGTGGGTGTAGAAATTGAGATGTTGAGCATTAATGTCAAGATATCATCAACTTCAATATTAAGATGGTTGTTTTAACAACATTAGAGAAATCACATCGCACGTTGTTGTGAAACCCTAGTTGTAAACAACTAAAGAGAAATGAAAATGAGAATGTTCTAAGAATGAGATATTAAGTACGGATAATTGATTTGATGCTATCGAGAGAAAATAAGAAATTAAATTTTATTTTTTTAATAAATAAAAATCTAAAGTACAAGAATTTATATTTTTAAAAAAATCATAAAATATTTAAGACAAGCGTGCCGGACACATGTGTCGAATACGCATGTCCAATTTAGTTTTAATTATTTTCTAATCAGATATGTCTTCGACATGTCTGACAAGTATTGGAGTAGTGTTGGACCCAGTTTGAGCAAGCAAGCTCGCACCACAGGAATTCTTTGCAATAGCAAAATAATCTACAATTTTAAGTTTGCGAAAGTGTTCACAACCATATCTATTAATAGTAGGAGATTGAATCTGGCGTCATCCTCAACTATATAGCATCCAATTATAAATCCTTCTCTCGCATTCTGATTAAGTGCTCACGATAGCATTAAATCTACTTTTCATAAATCATTTTTTAATAAATTTACAAGCGTAAGAGTTAATCTAGCCTTTTCGTAAGTGCCAAAAACTTTTGATAAGATGGTGCATATTTTATGCTCCATATTTTTAACACAAACAAAATATCATCCAGCATTTTCCTACATTCTACTTCAAAGTAAGTTTTATATTTAGCCTTTAAATGGTATCCTGCTCGGCTAATATTAAAACCTAAAGCTTCAAGCAGCTGATTACACTATTACAACATCCACTAGGATTATGCTATCTTCAAACAAAAGGCCAATGATTTTATTCTTCACCATCATCAGCCTTATCTTAAACAAGCAAGGGCTTGCTTCATAAACCCTTATGCCATAAATTTAAGATCATTATTCAATGCTTAGTTGAAATTAGTTAATTCCTTAAAAAAAATCTTCTCTTCATGCCCCATTCACGTTAATCTAGCTACCCAACATTACTGACACTCAAAAGAACCTAAATTCATTTCTATTACCCAAACTAAATAGACATTATGCCTACTCTCTTTCTTTAAAAAAGGCACTTGACAACCTATCCTCCAAATTTAACCCAAAATCACCCCTACTATTCTCGTATCCACTGCAAGTAAATTAAATATTTGTCCTTCTTTTGGCTCGAATATGTGACAACTATTGTACAGGCAATTTTTTAGCTAAGTTCATCATCTTATAACTACATCCTTCTTGACGACCAGACTTCAAAGTCACCCCGTAGTTCCCTTGTTATGGAAAAAATGTTGGTTTATATCCTTACATTAGCATTGCATAACGATGACAAGCTTAGAAAATTTTGATAATAAAAAAATGAAAACACATGTTCTCTTAATTTTGATCAACTATCATCTACGTCTCAGTATTATGATAACTGCCAAAACAAATCACTTCTCTTCATCACAGTCCAAAAACTTGGTCTGTCATCCAATTACCCAATCCCTTTGCCACCATAACTTACTCAGCATCACCTTCCAAAGGCATTTGCATCCTTAAATGCATACTTTTAAAACCTTAAGATGATGAAACAAGGAGAAATCATCATAACTGAACTAAAATGGCTAAGAAATCAATTTAAATAAACAAAGCCAAAGAGATTATTCTTGGAAGTTGTAGAGCTATAACGAGAATCTAAAAAGATTTGAAAGAACCCGATGAGAAGAAAATCAACAATGAGATATTTTTTGATCAAGTACAAGGAAAATAAAAAAAAAAACATAGTAAAAAAGATTCCACTAAGGAGGCGCTCTCTTTAGTTGAGAGAAACATAGCTGTTTCATTTTTCCTCTCTTCACTGGTTTGGAAAGATAATTGCAGCCTCAAATGGTGCATTGCATCTGATGCATCTCAGAGTATGTGATTGCACATGGGGTCGCAAATAAACGAGGATTTAATATATTTTAATAATATATGATGTCAAGCCACTACCAACATTGCAAGGGGGGGTTCACTATCACAATATGACCCAAAGGCTCAAATTAAGGAGACAGAAATAAATGGTCAGACGGTTATTTTAAAATTTGTTCACTAAATTTCTAAAAATAAACTATTTTCAATATACTTAAAGAGCCACTAAAACTCCAAATTTATTTTAAAAAGAAAAATAATATACCTATTTCAAATAAATAACTCCCTCTCGAAGCATCGCGTAAATTTTCTTCTCTTAAATACATTTAATTTATTTTTGGATGATACATGTGTACATTTATTCAATAATAGGGATGAGCTATAACACAATCTAGTATGTAGATCATGCTTCTAAATTACAGTAATACAATGACATTTTGAACAATATGCATACTTGCTACAAAATATAAAATAAAACAAATTTATTCAATAATAATTATATTTAAAATGTATTTTAAAAATGGCCATAAATAATATTTTATGCATATAAAACACACAAATCATGCCTTGTTCGGTTTTGTAACTAATACAACCATCATAGGTGACATCATCCAAACAGTACCAACTTTGGTACTTCCATTTCCAATTCCTTTTTCAAAACTTTTTCAAATTCACGCGTGTAGGTATATTAAATCCCCAACCAGTACATTAAGGGAGTGTACTCCATCATTCAATCATACACATATAACATTTTTATAACTAAGTTTATTTACATTCTCCATATCATTTCATACCAATGTATAGTAAACATTATATGACATCATAAGTGACCTAATTATGATATAAAATTCATATAATCCAATTCAACATGACCAATAATCTTTAATAGAGATAACAAATAAAAAATTAATAGTAAGTGATTAAATATTAATAGCACTTGAAACACCAAATTAGAAGAAGCAAATATCATTACTATAAATTAAATAAAATATGAATACTCACCTCACTTTTAAAAGTTCTATCTCACCTATGTCACACATTAAACTCCACTTCTTTTTGTCTTAATACCGATATCAACATGCAATCTCATTAATATTTAAGCATATAATTTTAAGTCTAATTTATAATAATTAACATTTATAATTTTAATTTATCCACTCTCACACAAAATAATTATCATAACATCATCAATTAATTTTCATATCTTCTTTAAAATCTACCTAAATAATAATTAACCTTGCTCTAATATATATTTTTTTAAAATTATAAGTTATAACCAATATAAAGTATTTTCTAAACTCAAATCTCTTAAATTATGAATATAAATTAATCTTAAGATAATACTTTAATAATATTTTAAATTTTAGATTTTATTATCAGTAATTGCATATAACTATTCTAAAAAATTGATAACTATATTCTAGGATTATATATATATATATATATATATATAATTTTATAAATAAAAAAAAATTCTTACATTGCCTTCACACGTGAGAATGCTTGTGCCATAGCCACTCAACCAATCATGTGTCTTCCCCTCCCATTGAGCTTGTGTCTTACCCTCTCGTTGCCACAGGCCACAATACGCTCACATTGTCTACCTCACACACAACTTCATCACTAGCCTTCCGCACTAGTTCGTCGACAACCCTCTCCCTAGTGATTCTCTCACATGTCTCGACGAAAGTTCCCACTCTCTCGATCTCATTCTACATTAAACACTATATATCTCACGATTTAAAGGTACATCAACCATTTGTCTTCCTCCTGCAAATCATTCCTTTTCTTGATTCTAAACAATGGAGTCAATCTCTCTTTCGGCTTCCATAACACCAAGCGATGGAACCAAAACAATCGATTCAAGATATTACATTCATTGAAATTGAATTCTACCCAATCATATGGCATTGTTGATAAAAATATCGAAGAGAAAAAGGGCTACAAAGAGGACATAAGATGCAATGCAAATAGAAAGGATCCTGCTAGACAGTCCTCTTTATAATCAAGAAAAACCTAACATTTTAATTATTTCTCTAGCACTGTTGATTCAGAAAGTGATGTTTGTAGTATCACATGAAGGAGAAAGTCTAAAGTACCTCTCCTTCCTAGAAAACCTTACTAATGCCTACTTTCCTTCAAATGATTATGCAATTTAGAAGCTGCCTTGTCGAGCGGTCATAGCACATCACTGCCTATGAGGTTTAATTTAGTTACCTATCCGGATATCACGCCAAGTCACTGCCTACTAAATCGATTTGTATGTGGTGGATGATGATGACTTCAATTCCTTAAAGAAAGAGTAGAACTGCAAAGAAATATTTCAAATGCCATCCTCTTTAGCCATAAACAAGCTCCGCCTCTTGTTGACACCTTCATTCAAAAGGCCAAAGACCTCTTTCCTGAATATAAGTCAAATCTCTTGTTTTCAGGGCCTCACCAGAAGCCATGCAAAAGATATCCTCAGAAGAATAGCTTTGTTATGAACTTATAATTTCACATTTTGGCATCCTGCTCATAAAGGTTTAAACGTTCAATATGGATATTGGAAAGCACACTCAATAAGTGTTTTCTGAATTAATCTAGTTGATTAATAATATTTTAAGAATAAAATATTAGGACAGATAGTTTGGTGAGGTTGCCTTTACATTAAAGTCAAACTCCATATTTCACTTTATCAGCAAGTTCTAAATTTTATGTTTGCGGCTGGTGTACATGAACTCATTTAAAGAACAACTAATATAACTCTCTAATATGACACATCAATCAAAATTTATATTCAGGCTTTATGTACTAGTTCAATATCCTACACTCTTTCAAATATTTGGTGACCTCCAAAAAAGTATTAACTACAAAATTTTATAATTATATAAAAGCATCCAAAAAATTAGAAAAAAAAAAAAAACTTTCAGGAAGTCATATATAGGCCTTTGGATTAGAAATGAGTAGAGAACTCTGAAATCAAATGAAGATAGGTAATGCATAAATAATTCTAAGTAAAAGAACTTATAAAGCTTGTGGATAAATAGTAGAGTAAAAGAAGATAGGTATAGAAAATGTAGGATTAAGCTAGCTAATGAGTATAATTTGTTCAAAAAGTTATATAAACTGATCATCTCCATGTCAGTCCTAGTGTATTGCTAAGGATGAAAATGGGTAGGCAGAAGATGACATTAGTATGAGTTACTCAACAGATATCAGTTTAATTCTTGTCTAAGAGTAAAACATGCAAAAAAATAATAACAAAATTTTGGAAACAAGCAATGATTTTGAGACCACCTTCTTTACAGTGCTGATCCGATAATGAAAAGGTTCAAATAATTTTTAGATGCCAAAAGATACTTCTGTCACACAACGCATAGACATATGCAACTCACACATGAACACATGCAAGAAGCTTTCACAGTTAAATTAATATTGGTACAGTCCTACTGATTTGTATATGATTATGTACTGTGCCCTTGTAATCCTTGGGATAATAAAAATATTTGCATGGTTAAAGGAAGATCCAAGGAGATCTAAATTAAGAATTAAACTATGCTTCATAAAATATCATACAAGCAAGGGCAGTTCATGCTTTTGGTTTATTGGAAGATTAAAAATTCATAGCATCCAAAGTACATAAAAATTGACATGATCTGCAATATACTTACATTCATCAGCCATATCAATAAAATCCACTACAATGATGCCACCAATATCCCTTAGACGCAGCTCCCGAGCAATCTGAAACAAGGATAAATTTTAGTAGCATGTCTAAGAACTGTATCATATATCTTGAAAGGGTATAGCTAAATATTGAGTGGCTTCCTTCACCTTAGATAATTCTGAAATGGGTCAACATTGTAATGCAAATCAACTTTAATTTACGTTGACAAAATTTATGTCTAGAACGGATGTTAAGGTTTTGGGGTAAAGTGACATTTTGAAATAAGAATAACAACTCACCGTTTAATGCCTAAGAATTTCATCACTTGACTTAGCTTAACTAAGCGTCAACCAAGCATACCCTTAAGGATGACTTTGAATAACAATATTTTCATAAATGGATCAAAATAAGAATGCGAGGGAAAAAGTATATATGACAAACATAGCACATATTGTGACAGATTACACTAGCTAATTCAAGACTAAACTTCACCCATCAAATACATCAGCTCCCTTTGGCTAATCTTTCTCACCCAACTCAGCTCCAAACCCCATTATCAGCCTTGATGATTGTTAGTTTTTTACTAAGATCTCTCTCTCTCACTTCTCTCTCTCACCAATTCTCCAATCTTTCCATTGGCCAAGATAATAAACAGCAAGACAATGTAATATTTAAGTGCTCTAATACAAGGATCCAAATGTGCCAAATTTATGGCTGACAATTTCACTTTGTTGACAAGGATGCCCACATATGGACCACATGCAAGTTAACCACTATAAAATGAAACTTCAAAAACTTCTCTTACTGCAGAAAAATAGATCCCTTCCCTCAGTCTCTTCCCCTCATTCCAAAATTTTGTAAGAGAGATCCAATCACCTCCTTTGCACAAGACATCCTGTCCTATACCCACCTTCTTAACTATTAACTGTCTTAAATCAACTAATGCATAGTCCCTCCATATCTGGGCCATAGATCTGTTCTGATATGGTATATAATACCGCAATCAAGTACCATATTTAAAAATACAAACCAGATGGATATGGCAATATATGATCAAGATGAGGCATACTCCCCCCCAAAACAACCAATCACCAAAAATGTCAATGGGCAAGACCACATCGTCCAACTTTTGAACTGAATTATGAAACCTTTGGGACCGAAAAGGAAATATTGTTTAAAGTGAGTTTGGAACTTGCCTTAAGGCTCAAGCAAGACAAGGCAAGTTTATAGTGCCTCCAGCACCTACCAAACGGGCTTTATTACCTAGGCATTCAATGGAGTACATCTTGCCATGCAATTAGATGCCCTTCTTCAACAACTACAATTGGGAACCGAGACAAAAATTGGCATGAGATGAACCGAGACATAATGATTTCTTAAAATACTCCTAATGCTAAACACAAGCTAGTTTTTATGATGACAACTTGGCATGAGATGAAGTGAAAAGAATAAAAAAAGGTGGAGAGAAAATATGAGCACTTTGGAACAAGTTGATAAGATGTGCCCGCAAGAGACTAAGTTTTTGAATAGTGAATCTTGAAGATGGAAATGATAGATCTATAGAAATATAGGAAAAGATGGCAAGAAATAAATTTAATGATATATAGAGATGAACATGATTGTGCTAAGGAAATAGATGAATGGATGGTAGGCATCAAACTCAATGGTAGAAAATAGAATATGGATGATGATGATGGAATAGATGGCAATGAAAATTAGATCTATCCTAAAGCTGCTAAACCCAACATACTCAAGTAGCTTAATTGCGCTTATTTAGAATAGTTTAATAGTAAGATTTTTCAAACTTGGAATGCAATGGAACTTGAAAATGAATTATTTTTCAAATATAATTTCATGTGGCAGTTATTATTTTATATTCGTCAAAAATATTCCTAAAAAATAAATTTTATTTATAAATGATTTTAATCATTTCTTTTTAGCACCCCATTTTAGTGGAGCGGAATCTAGCGCCTTAGGCATTGAGCAACCACAACATCTTTAGTGGCCTAGCACTTTTGTAAACACTAAGATAGGTTATTATTGTAATTTTAGAGAACTCTCTCCCAATTCTACAATAACATTTTTTGTTTGACCAGAGCATCTTATGATGATTTAACAACTATAATGAGCCAAAATTTAACACAAGTTTTAATAACCTCTTGATGATTTATCAACTATAATGAGCCAAGGTTTAGCTTTAGCACAAGACCTAAATACCACTTGATGATTTACTAGCTATAACGAGTAAAAATTTAATAAAAGTTCTAATAACCTATTGTGATGGACCTCCCTTCCCTATATGGAAGATAATTTCTTCTCTAACTATATTTTGACAAATATTTAAACTTCTCTCCTCTCTTTGTCAAAAGCAGTGTCAAAAGGATCAAAGTAGGAAAGTTAACAAACTGTCAGCATAGGAGTGTGACCAATGTACAGTATATACTATCCCATTTCTCCTTTATCACTACCTCTTCTGCCACACAAATTATCTTCCTCTCACTTCATTCCGCCCACCACTAATCTCTATTTTCCATTAAAAATATATATATATATCTTTGTTATCAACCATTTTCCAAAACTCAAGAGAAGTGCTTTGGAGAGTCATAGAAAAGAAAGTGGTTAATAATGCTTATTCAAGTCATTAAAGATATATATGTAGGAATTGCTACTTGTGTTCAAATACAAGACGGTTTGACCAAGTATTTTCTTATTTCAGTTGGATAACATCAAGGATCGGCTTTAAGCCCATATCTTTTAGCTTTTGTCATTGATGTTCTTACTACACATTTACAAGAGGATGTTCCCTGGTGTATGCGTTTTGCTAATGATATTCTTCTTGTTGATAAGACTAAAGAGGTGTCGAAAGAAAACTTCAATTATGAAGGTCAACATTAGAGTCTAAAGGTTTACATGGAGTGTAATTTCAATAGTAATAGTTCTAGTGGGTGGATTGTGACATTGGGCAATCAAGTCATTAATAACAATACACATTTTAGATATCTTGGATCTATTGTTCAAAGTGATGGTGAAATAGATAAGGATATTATTAGTAGAATTCAAGTTTGATTGTTGAAGTGGAGGAATATATAGGGCATGTTGTGTGATAGAAAAGTACCCCTCAAAATTAAAGGAAAAATTTATAAGATGGAGGTGAGATCTGCAATGATTTATGGCGCAAAATGTTGGCAATTAAAAGAGAAGCAAAAAGTTACATGTTACAGAGATGAGAATGCTGAGGTGGATTAGCAGCTTCACTTTTAGAGATAGAATGTGAAACAAGTATGTATGTGAAAGGGTTGGAGTAGCTCCAATGGCAAATAAGAGTAGAGAGTTACCCTAGATGGTTTTGACACATAAAACATAGGCCTTCCAATAACCCAGATAGGAGAGTAGATGTATTGGATTTGACCTATATTAAGAAATGTAGAGGTAGACTTAAAAAGGCTTGGCTCGAAAATATTAGAAATAACCTTGTTTATTAAATTTAAATGAGAAATTGACTCTTAATAGAACACAATAGAGAAAAAAGATTCATGTAGCCGACCACACATAGAAGGATAAAAGATTGATGTTGTTGTCATTATTGTTGTTGGTCAACCATGTTCCTAACTTCTAAAACATTGAGCAAAAAATTAATATTAAATCCAAAGAGATTGATCTCATTAAATAAAGATTTTAATAGCTTAATTTTGATGTACAAATTTCTTTGAAGATCTACATTGCTTTGGTGCAATATATCCCACTTTGTAATCCGCTTTAGTTTCAGTGGAACAGACTTTTTTTTTTTTTTGGAACAGACTTGAGAGAGAATAAATTATATATAAACAGGGCATCCAACACCACCTTACTAATTGACCAAAGTTGAATAGTATAAAGCAGTCATCCTACCAATTCAAGTGGCAATAAAGAATTATCTTTCTACACCCATTAGAGCCCATTTAGCTCATATTACGCAGTAATAAAATATGATTATACAAATAGATTCTAGTTAGCAGGATCCAGGAGCGACCCCATGCCCATGCTCAACGAACACCCCACCCTTATATAGCCACAATAATCTATGAACCAAACTAGCAACAAAAAATGATGGTCTTGGTTTTGTAATTATTGAATAAAAACAGTCTGCTAAAGAGTATAAAAATTGCTGCATAAAATTTTAAGAAGAATCTGAATAAATTACAAAGATACAATAAAAAAATGTCGCATCAAATTGAGGGACTCCTGGAAGTTATACTTAGCACAATTTCAATATTCTAATTTGTTTTTAATAAAAAGTCTTGCAACCACTTCCAAACCACAGAAAATCAAGTCACGGACTACTACAGAAAGAAACGCATCATGCCATGCAGATCATAAAAATTTCAAAGTAATGCAAAAAAAAGCAAAATAAATGCATGCTGATCAAGGGTGCTAAGGTTCAAACTAACACACTTGTCTTGCGGCGGTACGATTGACCTCCAGAACTGCTTTTTCTTGAGATGACTCTTGTCCAAACATGCCATGACCTCCATTGACATCAATTGAAACAAGCGCCTCAGTCTGTTCAATCACCAAAGAACCTCCATTTGAAAGTGGAACCCTACATGGAAAGAAATTAATATGCACATATAAGAGATTAATCAACTGAGATTTGAGACGGTTCGTACATTAATCAAAGATTATTGACAAGAAAACAGGAGAGTGCGGCATGGAATCCTTACTTTGTCCAAAACTTTTATCACTCTAAACGTAAAATATTCCATTACGAAATTATAAGGAAGATTTTTCCTTCTACACATGTTAAAAAGTCCTTTACCATATTATAAGGAAGTTTGACTTTTCACGTTAATTGCACAAAACTGTGAAAATATAAATCTTAATGTTGCATATCTGGTTATTTATGCTGTTACTTTCTGCAACATTAGTTGTCCGGTAAAATCATGAATTTTATAGCACAAAAAAAGAATGCTTTGTAGTCAGTTTCATGTTAGTTTAGTTCTCCTATTCAAAGACCAAAATTGTCATCATTTTTTTATGAGAGGGAGTTAATGGCCATTGTCTTGGCTATTTAGAAGTGGCGCCCTTATCTTTTGGGTAGACATTTCATCATCCGAACGGATCAGAGGAGCTTGAAGTCCCTGTTGGAGCAACGGATGGTGACCGAGGAGCATCAGAGATGGTTGTCTACACTATTAGGCTATGATTTTGAGATCCAGTACAAGCCGGGGTTGGAGAAAAAAGCGGCCGAAGCCTTATCCCGGTGTGTTGGGGAGCTCCAAGAGTTGGCTGTGTCTATACCTTTGATGGTCGACTGGAGGGCCATCAAGGAAGAAAACATGTTGAATGCAGAGTTGCAAAAGATCAAGGAGGATCTAACGAAAGACAAGGGTAGCCAACCTGGTTACTATATGGAGGAGGAGAGGCTGTTGTATCAAGGAAGGTTTGTGATGCCACAAACCTCCATACACATTCCCCACTTGTTATAGGAGTTTCACGGCAGTGCGGTTGGAAGTCACTCGGGAGAGCAGAAAACCTATAGTAGGCTAGCATCTAAATTTTATTGTAAGGGGATGCATAAAGATGTTGAGGAGATGGTGGCAATGTGTGAAGTGTGCCAGAGAAACAAATACATGGTCATGGCTCCAAGAGGATTACTACAATCCTTGGCACTTCCAAATCGAGTCTGGAAGTGTCCATGGATTTTATTGATGGTCTATCACGATCAGAAGGATTCACTGTCATCATGGTGGTGGTTGACAAACTTAGTAAGTATGCACATTTCATCCTCTTACAACATCCCTACACCGCGGTGTCAGTAGCAGCATCATTTATCAGGGAGGTGGTTAGACTGCATGGGATCCCTGAATCCATTGTGACTGATTGTGACAAAGTTTTCCTCAGCCAGTTTTGGAGAAAGTTGTTCAGGTTGCAGGGCACAACTCTTAAAAGGAGTACCGCCTACCATCCTCAAACTGACAAGCAAAAGGAGGTGGTAAACCGAAGTTTGGAGACCTATTTGAGGTGTTTTGCTTTTGAAACACTGCGTATGTGGGCGAAGTGGTTACCGTGGGCCAAGAATTGGTACAATACATCGTACCATTCTGCTCCTCAGATGACTCCTTTCAAAGTGATGTATGGAAGGGATCCCCCACACCTAGTGCACTATAGGAGGGGAAGCACACCAGTTTCTTCAGTTGAGCAGCACTTGGAGGAAAGGGACAAGGTGCTGGAAGAGTTGAAGAAACATCTGCTGAGGGCACAACAAATCATGAAAAAGCAGGCGGACTCACATAGGAGGGACATGCAGTTTGAAGTGGGAGAGAAGGTGTTCCTTAAACTACGCCATTACAGGCAGAGGACAGTAGCGAAAAGGAGTAACGAGAAATTGGCACCGCGATACTTCAGCCCCTATGAGGTTTTGGATAGGATTGGGGCAGTGGCGTGCCGACTGAAGTTACCATCATCTGCCACCATAGACCCAGTTTTTCATGTGTCTCAGTTGAGGAGAGCTCTAGGGGAGCATGCAGTTAGTGCAGAATTACCTTCTAAACTGACTGAGGATTTGGAAGTAGTCTTTGAACCACTGGAACTTACAAGAGTAAGGTCAGATAAAGAGGGCAACAAAGAAGTACTGATTAGATGGAGAGGCCTCCCCGAATTTGATGCTACGTGGGAGCCATTTGAAAGAATGAAAGAACAATTCCCTTCATTTCACCTTGAGGACAAGGTGAGCCTTTAGGAGGGGAGTACTGTTAGGCGGGCCCCTCATCCGGTCCTTACTCCAGGCAGGACCCACATGGGGTTTAATTCAAGTGTTGGAGGGAAAATTTGAATGGAAAGGGAGGGGGGGGGATTTGAATAGAAGGGTTGTTTAGGAATTTTGTAAGGGGATGAGAGTTAAAGAGGGGGAAAAGGGGGATTTAGGTTTTCATCTTGAATTTGGGCTGTTTTTTGGGGATCTTCTTGGAGGCTTGGGCTCTAGTCTTCTTGGCTAGAGATTTTTGGAGAGTTCTCTTCCTCTTGAATTGAAGAATCTTGTATGGTTATTATTTTCTTTCATCTACTAGTGGAATACAAGTGGTTGGCGTGATTTTCTTTAGATTCCTACTCAATTTCTCGCAGTTTTTCACTGTTTGGGATTGTTAAGCCGCTGTAAACAGCAATTTGTTGTTGTTTTCTCTCCAATTTGGGATAGGGTTGCTTGCGAACTCAAGTATTTCCTATCAGTTTTCTAATTCAAAATGATGACTTTTAACTTTAGTGTTTTTAGAGTCTCAAGTAATTTGCTCCAAAACTGGTCTTAGATTCAAAGGGCCATAACCACATGACAAACCATGCCAACATCTTTCAAACTACAAAAACTTGTCTTACTAATAAAAAAAAAATAAAAATGGTTGATGATTCCCTAACAACTATTGCAGGTCAAGAAAAGACTTCAATTTCTCCCATACTTACCCTCAATGGCGTATTACACGTTTCTCATCTTGCTATAAATATTTTATGGATCAATAAATTGATAAAGAAAACAATTATAATGTAATATTTTCTTATAATCATTATACATCTATGGGGAAGATGATTTGAGAAACTGAAGAGAAAGCTGGGCAATATCTTCTTAAAGACATAAACTACTTGTCATGCTCCATCATTTCCAATCACTATATTGAAATCATTTAGACATATTAATATAAGCTAGGGCATCCCTCCTTCAAATCTCTATATGTTAGTTCATTATTATATCTGGAGACCCACCAAAATCAATAATATTTCTAGAGCAATTGAATTTGGCACTTTTATTTATGATTGTACTCAGATGACATGAGTATAACTCATAAAACAAAATTTTGATATCAATATTATCCTCCTCACTTTCACTGTCATAATAAAAAATTAATTCAATATCAATATAAAATTATTTCGAACAAATAATGATGTAGAACGGAAACACGCTTTGCTAGGGACAAATCTCCTCTCCATATTTTTTTTTTTGTTTGACAGCAAGTTCAGATTTCACCAAAAATCTGAGAAGAAAATTCTCAGATTTTCTCTTGAGAAAATAGGGGTAGGGGAAGGAAGAGTTTGGTTGAAGACTTAAGGGAGGATTTAAGGCTGATTGGGAAGACGGCAACCCAGGGGGGGGGGCGCAGTTAAGTTTGGTTCTACTATCAGAATTATTATCAAATAATAATAATCAACCCATCGCTACTACTTTGTGTCCCAACGCCTGATGCAATCCTTTCACAATTTTTCCTCTTCATAGTGGTGTCTTCCTGACAAATATTAACTTTAATTCCATTCCAATATCAGAAATCCTGTTTCAGGCACTTGAAAATAAGAATTAGAAACATGTCATGAGAAAAAAAGAAGAATGTCCAAAAAATCACACTCGGAAAGTTGTTGAACTATATAAAAAGAAAGAAATTTATAGATTGCAAGTGAACTTTTCCTATAAACTATTAGACAAATTGAAGTACGAATTATTAGCCAAATAATGTACTCAATCATATGGAATTGATTGCCAAAGAACATTTGCTCCTAATACAAAAATGAATATAATTTGCATGCTAATTTCTCTAGTGGCTAATCTTGGGTGGTTTATACAACAATATGATGTAAAAAATGTCTTCTTACATAGAGATGTTGAATAAGTCTATATGGATCATAGGCTTAAATAGCTCATTCGCAAAAAAAAAATGTGCAAATTAAAAAATGCTTTAAATAGATTTAAAAATCTCCGCGAGCCTAATTGGGCAGATTTACAAAATCCATGATTGAAGATGGATATAAACAAATCCAAAATGATCATTACCTCTTCATAAAATAGTTCTTAATTGTAAGATCTCAATTCTTATAGCATATATTGATGATATAATTCTTAAAGTGATGAAATTAAAGAAAAAGCGTCTCTGGGAAAAAAAAAACTAACTAAAAAATTTGAGATCAAGGAGTTGGATAAACTCAAATACTTCTTAAGTGTAAAAGTAACTTAATCAAAATAAGAAATATTCCTCTTTCGACAAAATATATCATGAACCTACTAAAATTTAAAAAATGACTCATTGAAAATCTTGTGAAACCCCAAATAAACCAAAACAAAAGTCGTATTCAGGATTGTACTGCTCTTTTTGAACTGCTAAGCCAGTGTGATCTCGGGAACCAAGTAGTCCTGCATATACATGCAATTTTCAGGCACCCTAATCACTGTTTTCATTAGAAAAAATATTCATAATATTTCAGCATTTATTTAATGATTTTTTAAAGAAAATTTATAAGCTTTTATTGTTCTTGTAATTCCCCATTGCTCTCATTTTCCCAGTTTAAATGCTGACTGCCATAAGATGAGCTACCGGTTCAGAAACTGTAATATGTTTTTTCACTTTTATGATACAGAAAGTGGGGCGGTTTCTCCAACCCTGTGATTCCAAAAGAAAAATAGTCTGAAAATATGCTAGAAATTGAGTGAAGAGCAATAAAAAAGTAAACATATTCATTCAAGGTACTAGATAACGTTTCAGGGTTATTCGGTGGATGATGAAAATGCAGAAGGACAAGCAATTACATTCTTCACTTTGTGAAACATTACAAAATTCATTTAAACTGCTTCAGGAATTAGATATCAAAAATCAAAAACTCTACAATGTTGGTTCCTACCTCTTACTTAGGATGTTGTTGATCTCTTCTTCAATGTTGTATTCATCAAATATGGGAGTTCTTTTATCATATAACTGAACACGTTGACATAAATCAGGTGCAATCTCATGAAGGTAACTAGTAACCTGGAAGATAAACAAAGACTTGTCAAAATTCATGAAATTTTCAATGGTATATGATCTCAGATGAATGTAAAAGAAATACTTTTTGCCAACTAGAGAGCAAAAATCTCTCGTTTAACATTTAAACTCATTAATGGTTTAATCCAGAAATTAAAGCAACAATACAAGAGTAATGCATTACTATGTTTCAGCATTTTCCTAAATATGGCATAGTTTATGGGGTACCTCATGATAAGTTCGAGGAGAATCTACAACCATGCTCTCAACCTGGAAAATATAAAGTTATAAATCCCAAAAGCCAGAGCAATCACAAAAATATTTCAAAGAAAGAATTCAGCGAAATAGTACAACAACCTCAAAGTGGGCTCATCTAGCAGAAATCTAGATATTAAAGAGGCTGATCACCTTTTCATTGAAGTAATCCTGCACAACGGACAGAGTTTGACCCATTGCTTTGTGCAACATCACCGGAGTTGCACCTTCTACCCCCTCTACCGCAGCAAGTGCTGCAGATTTTGCATGCTCAATTATGCATTTCCAGGTAGTAAGCAAACTATCCAGATCTTTATGCAACTCCTCCAGGGAATGACCAGCAGCAACAGTTCGTACGGTCAAACCAAAACCCAAAGGTTGCAGAGTTTTTGCAATAGCCCTCAAGCGTGCTCGCTCAATGCCAGTGATCTTCTTTGACACCCCAATTCTATCACAACGACTTGTCAAAACCTGCCAATGATTGTAATTGAAAAACCAGCTAAAATTTCACAGCTAAGGCAAACTACATTGTTCACCTTAGAAGCAGAAGAAGAAAGGAAAAAAGGAATAAAATTTTACTACAAAGGACAAAGTCTACCGACCTGAAGCAAATATTCACCATCCCTGCAATATATTTCATTAGTTATATTTTATTTAAATAGTTGCATTCATATCAAGTTCATAATGAAGATTCCTCATTCCATGCTCAAAGCTAAATACCAAGAAATCATCATAAGCGGTAACAACAATAGACGCTTTATGAATCTTCATTCTTCCTTTGTTCAAACGGAGTGTTTCTGGAAGTGTTAAACCATTCAGTGCAAATTTTTTTCATAGCTTCTTTCCTATGGAAATAAACAGCCATAGAATCAACCCACGCCTCTCTGCCAATCTGCCTTGTCTTCCTCCTAGCTAGCCCATCCGCCTGGTTGTCCAACCCAACCAACTCTTGCTAGCCCATCCGCCCTCAGCCTAACTCCAACAAATGCGTCAGCTTCCCTCTCTCCTTCCTTATCAGGTCCATTGCCAACCAGGTTATTTTTGCTACTACCTCACCAATCCATGTAGGCTGTCCTATTTTAATTACTTATATATTTAATTTTCAGTTTTTAGTTTTATATATTTAATTTGTGTAACCTACCTTGAAACGAACAAATTTTCTAACTGGACCGATGGACGAAAATCTCTCTACGGCTGCCAAAACCCAACTTCCTTCTCTCTCCTCTCTTTCTTCTCAATTCTCAAAATCCTTTCTATGTTAAACACAAATAAAATGGAAAATGGGATTTAAAGCCATTTAAATAATCTATTATGCTTTTCGATATTTTTTTATATAAATTAATAATATAATAATATTATAATCAAGTTTTAATATAACATCCATAGAAATTCTTTTATGTATTCTAAAAATTATAAAAAAAATATATTCATTAAATAATTTATTTTATTTAAAAAATTCTAGTGAAATTGGTTTGCAAAATGGGCATCAGATTATCTCAAAACCCACACTTGTACTGTTAGATGCTAATTTCTTAAAGAATTTCACCAATACCCAAAAAATATGAAAAAAAATTTGAAACTAAAATATAATAAAAGATATATTATGACAAAGACGGTTTGTGATTTGGACTTATAATGGCTCATGAATAATTTTTTTACTATTGTAGCTAAAAATGCATTTTTTTAATTTTTTTAGTTATAACCTCTGATGCACCGACACTTCATTTTAAGAGGGTATGTAGTGTCGGACACGGGCACGCGTCTGACACGAAGGGGACACATGTTGAACATGTCATTAGTGTGTCCCATTTAAAAAAAAAATAATCCGGATTTCATATTAGCCGGTTCACGCTCGAGTCTTCATCTTCGCCCTAATCCTGTATTTCTATTCATATTTGTAGTCTTCTCGAGCGATTGAGGCGAGCAGCGGTTGGTTGGAGATCGCACCCTTGGTCTTCCCTTCTGGCAGTAAGCAACAAGCCTTCCTCCTTATTTTCTGCACGCAACCGAGAGAAGCTGACGCCAAACCACTGAAATTTTTTCAAACATATAAGTTGATTTCACCATTTTTTTCTCCATTCGTCATTTCTATTCCTTTATAAATGATTCTGTGGATTTGTGATCAAAAGAGCATATTGTTTTCTGAAAGCATTTTATTTGTTTTGGATTTTGGAAATAATACCTAAATCAAACCCTAAGTTGTAGGTTGTTCGGTTGTTCTTTTTTTTTTACCTAAATTAGATCAAACCCTAGGTTGTAGATTGTAGGTTGTTCTTGTTTTATGTATAAGATGAAAACGGATTGCAGATTGTAGGTTGTTCCATGTAAAGAGGTGTTATTGTTAGGGAATGAATAACTAAATACAAAGAAAAATAGTAAAGAGAATCCAAAAATATCATTACAACCAAAATTTCTTCCGGGGGCGCTGCCCCTGGAAACCCCCGCAAGGGCGCTTCCCCTTGACCCCGCGACCTAACCGGGCAGGTTGAACCTGGTGCCCCCTTGGACCTGGCATATCTGCAGATTTTGCCATGGATCTTTACAAAATCTTAGTTTAGTAGTTTGTTCAGTTGTTATTTACAAAAGTTAAAAGTTGTATACATAGTCATAACACATGATTCAATAGTTATTTAATTATTATTTTAACTTTGTTTGGTAATTTTATATACTTTGTATTATTTTAAGGTATTCAAGTAAAGAATGGCTTTAACAAGACTCTCAACGTGTCTCACCACAAAAAAATTTAGATGTTTCAAATACAAGAAAGATATGTTTGAAACGATATTTCCCAAATGAGGAGGAGAGAAGAAAGATTAATATAGAACTTACAAAATTCTTTGGATATTTAGAGGATTTTGGTGATCAAGAATATTTGGTTGAAAAATGGAGGATGGATATGAAAATGTGGTAATGATTCATGGAGCTTCAGCACCGCTTCTTCAAACAATAACAATAAAACTTCTTGGTCAAGTATCATCCTCTTCTTGTTGTAGGAGAAATTGGAGCACATACTCATTTATTCAATCGATTAAGAGAAATAAAATAACTCCACAACGAGCTGAAGATTTAGTTTATGTACATACAAATCTTCGTCTTCTATCAAGGAAGAGCCCATTTTATATGACAGGTGATAACAATATATGGGATGTTGCTGGAGATGGGTTCGAGTGCCTTGATGATATGGGATTATTGGAGGTTGCAAATTTTTCTCTAGATGAACCAGAGTTGGAAGCAATGATATTCAATGATGATGATATTGAAGGTTAAAGATCAACCTCTGAATCTAATTATATTATTCTCTCTTTTGAGAAGTTGAACCTTCATGTTGTACTAAATAGCTTTTTTGCTTATATTTTTGTAGTTGTATTAGACATTTTGTACTAAACATTTTATGTTATAAGCTAAATAATTTATCATGACATTGATTTATTATTGCTTGTCATTTATAATATGATGTCATCTTAATTTCTATATATTATATTAAAAAAGATTATAATGTTGTGTCCACGCCGCACCCGTGTCCTATATTTTTAAAAAATGTCGTGTCCGTGTAGTGTCATGTCCGTGTTGCCGTGTTCGTTTCGGTGCATCATAGGTTATAACACGTGGCATGGATGACTGCTTTCTGCAGCAACATGGGATACATGTACATCCCTCTTTTTTTTGGGTCAACAATAACATAAAATAAATAAATGAAATTTTAAAGTACAATCTACTCAAACATGAGAATCGTAATCTATAATTCAAAATGAATGGAAGTTTAGACTATAATCTGATCCCTAGCAAACATATAAAGTGATACTGGATATATATCCCACGAGTAAAAGCTTAAAATAGTCCCCCAACTATAGATAAATGCTCAATTTAGTCTCATAGTTTTGTGTTGCCCCAATTCAATCTCTCAATTATTAAGTTGATATAATTAAGTCTCAGAGGCTAAAATAAGTGTTAAAGTTAACTCCAAAGTTAAATATAAGGATAGCTTAGGTAGTACAAGTTTTTGTGAGATTATATTGTTTATACTGTGTTATTTTATCATTCAATAAATTATAATACATGTTTACCCTACAAAATAATAAGGGTGAATAATTAGTGAAAAAAATTATATAATTTTTAAGCAAAATCTAAATTGAATATCATTATAGACATGAAAAATTTTTGGAATTAGAATTAAAATAAGTATAGGGTTGGAAGGGGAACAGTTTTTTTGAGAGAAAGGCACTAGGAATTACACAATCTTTAATTTTAATGCACTTTTAACAAAGGATTTTGGTGCAAAATATGATTCCTTCATACTGAATATTTTCTTGAATAAATATCAGAAGATTCCACAGCATTATTAGAAGAAATCGATGGTTCAACAGTTATTTCTCGATTCTCTCAGAATTGGGATGGGCCTAAATAAATAAAATTAAAAAGAAGAGTGTTAAGTACATGAATGACTTATATTTATTTGAAAGCAACTTGAGCAGTCTTCTTGGGTTCTTGCCCTTATTCTTTCCTACAAGTTTCTTCTACAATCCACGTTAAAAAAATGAGAGAGAAAATAAAGCAAAAGAAATGTTCCTGCTAAATAAAACTTGTTCTCACAATGAAGTTAATTCAATTTTTCCATATTATCTAAATAAATTAATAAACAGTCTAAATCTCATCTTAAAATGTACTTCTCATTTACAATAAATAAGAAATCTTGATGCTTTATTATTGCAACAAATTCTAAGAAGAACAACTAATAAAAGTTAAATTAATGATTGCTCTCATTCAAATAGCTCAAGCAAATAAACACAAACAACATAAATAAAATTGAACCACTGTCATGCAACTTGTAATACAGCTATGAACGAATAATTCCTAACATTATAAATTGTTTTTATCTTATTGAATAAATAATTCCAAAGAACAAAAAGATCAAAATCGTGTGAACGGAGGATATTAGGAAGATGAGCTAACATGTCTCTATCTCCTTTTTAATGTTGCACATCGCTCGTCGTCTCCGTCCCTGGACGTCGAAGCACATTGTGATTGCTCAGCCTCTCAAGTCACTCGCGCTCCGTCGTAGTTGCATGTGTCTCACAGTTGGTTGCAACAACACAGGTCTTGCTTGCAGCCTCTCAAGTCACTTACGGTCACTCACAGCAGCACCTGTCAAGCGTCTCGTTTACAATAGCATGGCTTTCGCAAAGCATCGAAGAACGGCACCTTGCTCGCAACTGCATGTCTTCTCGCTCGCACAATTTAGTCTTTGGTTCCATCTCCATGAATTATAGCAGAAACGCAAACAATAAGGTAAGTGGTATTTTTACTAAAATACCTACAAAGAAGCGAGTATGTGCAGCTTGTTCCATTAATTTAAATGAATTTTTAATAGAGGGATCAAATTGAACAATTTTTAGTAGTTTGGGGACTAAATTAGGGCAATGTTAAACTCTGGGACCAAATTAGACATTACCAATAGTCTGAGGACTATTTTCAGCTTTTACTCCATATCCAACTGTGCTCATAAGTATAACATCTTAACTCCTATAAATGCCATGAGTTTCCCCTGACACATAGCATCAAAAACAACAACAACAACATCAAGTTTTTATCCCACTACATAAGGTCGGCTACATGAATCTTATATCTCCATTGTGCCTTATTAAGAGACAATTTCTCATTTAAATCTAATAAAGAAATGTCATTTCTAATATTTTCTAACCAAGTCTTTTTAGATCTACCTCTATCTTTATTAATATAAACCAAATCTAATATATCTACTCTCCTAACCGGGTCATCGGAAGGTCGCCATTTTATGTGACCAAACTATCTAAGGCGAGTCTCTCTAATCTTATCTTCCACTGGAGCTACTCCAACCTTTTCAAGTATATGCTCGTTTCACATCCTGTCTCTAAGAGTAAAGCCACTCATCCACTTGAGCAACCCATCTCTACAACACTTAACTTAGTATTATGTTTCTCATTTAATGGCCAACATTCTGCGCCATAAAGCATTGCAGATCTCACGACCATCTTATAGAATCTTCCCTTAAGTTTGAGAGGAACTTTTCGATCACACAACAAGCCTAATGCATTCCTCCACTTCAACCATCGAGCTTGAATTCTATTAATAATATCCCCATCTATTTTACAATCACTCTGAACAATACACCCACCACATAGCATCCACAGTTTAATGTTTCTTTTTTTTTTTTTCAACTGACCAGAGTTTAATATCCTGAGTACTTGATTTTAGCCCAGACTTAATAATACATTAATGATAGTTTGCTGAAAAACAGTGGTCATATTTCAGATTCCATGTAAACATGGTTTAAGGAAATCTGGAAACTAAACACAACAAACAACCAAATCTAAAAATTTAGCAATAGAAAATAAACCACGGCGATGTACTAAAAAACTGAAATCCAAGGAACATGCATCATAACCTTACAGTACATACCCAAAATCGGCTTTTCAACTTCGGATAAGCACTGAGAGCTGGACCTTTTGTTCCTAACCCCTCTTTAACCACCTGAACAATGACTTTGGTGCCTTTGCGAACATTAGCCCATTTGTTATCAGCTAATTTGGAATTTTCCGACTTACCTGAATTTTGTATGGGATGTGAAAAATTAGAATCCTTAATCACTTCTGCTGCTAAAGTGGAACGATTCTCAACAACATCATCATGCAAGTGACTCTCATTTACTTCAAACTCTTCAGAATAATCCTCGTTGCCAACAAAATCACTAGCAAAACTCATATTTCTAGGAACGTCAACAACATCAATTTCATCATCTGTTTCAGGATCCTCAAAATCTTCTCGTGTGTAAGCAACTTCATCATCAACCTCTAAGACATTCTCAATACCATCCTCATCATCCAAGAACTGGTCATTTTCATTGATGTTTGCCTGTTTACTTTTTTCAGTGCTAGCAAAGCCATTGACATATTCTCTCCTAATTTCTTGTTTGAAAAGAGGAAACACAAATGGTTCTCTGTTTTGCTTTATGTCCATAAGAGAAGGTCGAGAAATCCCAATATCCACAAATGCACCACCCATATGAGGAACAAGTTTCGTCACAACTCCTAAATAGATACTGTCGCACTGTACATTATTTTTAACTGGTTCTAGTAGTAGCTCAACAAGCTTTCCATCTTCCAAAATGGCAATTCTTTGCATGGTACATATGGAAGAGTTAATCAGTATAACTATCCAAGCAGATTTCTCAGGATAAGATAGTCTGATCTCTTCAGGTATTGGCTTTCCTGTCTCATAACACAAGTTTCCAGGAGATTCAATTTGGTGACTTTTATCTTGTTCAGAAGCAACATCCAAGTTGTTTGGTTCAACCATAGATGATAGTGAAGATCGAAATAGCCAGGGTTCTTCAACTGGTTGGTCTCGTTCGGGCAATATCTCTCCTAAACTGCCAGAAGTAACAGCTAAATCCTTCTCCTTGGCAATATGGTTATTAAAAGTTTGACCTGCAGGAAGCTGCTTCCTATTTGAAAGACGCCCATTGGAATTTGACAATATCTCTTGTTCACCTGTTATGCACTGGAAGCATTTAAGTGTTCAGAACCAACAAAACAGCTCATGCGGATGTCCAGAAAAATATTATTAGGTTTGCAATTACCGGTAGATGGAGTTCCATGAATGACCTCATTGATGTGATGTCCATCTCCAACACCAACAGGAAGTTCTATATCCAACATCCATGAACCCCATGAGGGGTTCGGGCAACTTCCTAATCTAGTTCTCATCCAAGAATCTCTTACTACAATCTCTTCCTGTTCTTTATTTCCGAGAGGCACTGACAAGGAAAATGCAGGCCCTGGCCTCCAAATAAGGCCACCAGCCAGCGGTTTCTTGTTCTTTAGAAAATAATTGTACTTTAAATGACTCCCATTAGGTACCTGAGAATACAAGTTACAAGCTTTAGAAGAAGAACAGAAGCTTACAATTGTGCAGAATGGTCTTGCATGATGTTACAACAAGAGTAAAGCATTCATCAAATGAACAAAAGTATTGTTTTCCACACGTACTCGTCCATGAAACATAAATAAGCCTACTAAGCTTGAACTTAAAATCTCAAATAGAACCAGAAGCCGTCACTTTAATGTAATTAATGCGCCCAACAGCTCAAAAACAATGAAAGGCACCTAAAATCAATTGTTTTCCACTATTGATTGTGAAGTGCTACGTAGTCCTCCAATCCCTTAATGAAGAGGTTAACTAAATCTGAAACAATTGCAAAGAAAATCATCTCTTTCAAACTCCAAATTACCATTTTAAATCAAATGCCAATTTTGACTTGAAGAATGATACATGTGGGTAGTGGAAATATCACTTTTTGAAAGCCTATTGGAACTGCCAAGAGCAGCCGTCTATCTACAAGTTATTGCCGCAAAATATGGGGGAAAATATATAGGAACATTTAACCAAAAACAAACGAATGCCAGATCTACTGTGTTGTTGAAACATAGAGAAGGATGCAATATTTTTCAATTTTGGATCGGTAGAAGGGGAATCTAATTTATAGGATACAAAACCCAATTAGATGGCCTAAAATAGAAAGCAATAACTGCCCATAAGAAAAAAATGGGAAAACAATAACACAAAGAGACAGAAACAAATATATGATTTTATACTAGTTCACATGCAAATAAGTCACTAAGAGAATATAGGAAATCGCAACATTTGATTTGAAGATGCGGCAAATTCTTTTTTGAATGGATTTATCAGTCCAGCAATTTGGGACTGCTGATTGACACCAAGGACCTACTGGTAAGGATAGCGTGTAATACTAAAAAATTCATAAAAAGTAATACCAACTAAAATGAATACCCACTTTTCACCCATCCCAAAAATGATCAAAAGCATTTTTTATAAAACTCTACAACTTTTAAAGATCAATTTGTATGTATGTATATATACATGCTCACACACAAATAGTATTATACTAATCTTTATAAAATTAATTCATTAATTTAATTATTTACGTTAATTTATCCAATTTGCTTTTTATATGAATTGCTCTACTGTAGCATTAATTTATGCATCGTAGCAGTAGTTGCATAAACCACTTACCGTGACATGGATTGGTGGATGTAAAGGGAAGGCAGTGATTGTTTTGAGAGGATGTTAATCTATACATATACTTACTCATATTATAACCTAAAACTTCTCATTACAAGCCCATGTCATCATCCCGCAGCTGTTCAGTGAGGCAAAACAAAGAGTTGGAGAAGGGTTTAGTTGAAGGGAAGAATAGAAAAACAAGAAGAAGGAAAGAGGCGAGGAAAGGTAGGGTTTGAGTTTCAAATAGGGGTGTAAAGGAGTCGAGTCGAGTTTTGGCACAATCGAGCTTAGCTCGTTAGTCGGAAAGTGAGCTTGAACTCGAGCTCGAGCTCGAGTCGAGCTCAAAATGCGAGCTTGAACTCGAGCTCGTCATACTATAAACGATACTATGACGAGCACGAGCCGGCTCATGAGCTTTCATAAGCTTGATTAGTTTTCCAAAAAAAAAACTGTAGCATTTATCACAAAATTCAATTTTTCTGAAAAGCAGCAGCATTATTCAAAATAAAGCTATTGTATTTTCCAAAAAGCTCTCGCCGGAACTCTTTCTACCGCCCAAATATCACCCAAATCAAGTTTTTTAATTATTTTTTAATATTCAAAAAACTGCAGCACTATTAAGTGGCCAGCTTGCAAAGAATTTGATTTAAAAATTTGATTTGACGAGGACCAGTGGTCGGCTTGCAAGGGATTTGATAAAGCATACAAATGTCACCAACCTTCCGTATTTATTATTAAGTTTTTTTAACTATTTAAATAAAATAAATATTATATAATAATATTAATAGTAGTTTGAGCCGGCTCTGAGCTCGTTAACGGGTTGAGCTCGAGCCGGCTCGGCTCACTTACACCCCTAGTTTCAAAATACCATTTTTCGCATTTCCCTCCTCAAAGTGAGTTTGGTGTCGAGTTGTAGATAAAATTCTCAATGAGGAGAATATTTTGAAATAAAAATATCATTTGAGGTTATTTTGAGTTACATTTGAGTTGTAAATTAGGAGTCATTTTAAATTGAAAAACTTGATGTTCTATTAGGGTGCTTACAAAAGGAGATTTAAGGGAGATAAAAATAAGAAAATTTGCCCAAGGAAGATCCTATAATTTTGGCTAGAAACTCAATATATAATACAAGAAACGAATTATCTCTAGGCCTAATGTTTATTTAACTCCTACAATTCCATTAAACAACTATATTGATAAGAGTAGATAATTCTTCATATTAAGCATGATATGATGATATTAGCAAGTCTACTTTATTTTTTATAGGATCATCTGCTCAAAATAATTTCTGAATATTTCTATAAAATTCAAGTTTAAGATCATTCAATATAATACAATGCATAATTAAGTACCCAATATTAAATGTTGTGTCCTGCTATACTTTTGATCCAAGTTATTACAAGTTGATTGACAATAAGTGCATATCAATGCTAAGAAATTTTAAATATTTATGATATTACAGCAACAATATCAAGCTTTTGTCCCACTACGTGGAGTCGGCTACATGAATATTTTTTTTCCCATTTTGTCTTGTTAAAAGTCAAATTCTCGTTTAAATCAATCAATATTTATGATATTAATTTTAAAATAATAATAATAAGTCTCTAAAAAGTTATATTATGTAGGATAGGATGACAAATGATGATGAGGACAAACAAAAGTTCTAATAAGATGAGCTTTATGGGGGCCAAAAAGAGTTCACACTATTAATGTTGGAAAGTTGAGATGGTCCAACATGGATAGAGGGGCTATTGATAATTGTTATTTTGGAATGTACAAACTTTATCAATGATTATTATGACAAAAGGGCTAAGTGACTCCACGTACAATAAAACATTGCAAGTCTCACCACCATCTTAAATTTGTGTGGTACATTTTTATCACACAAGCCTGAAAGCCCGAAGCATTCCTCCACTTCAACCATCCAACTTGAATTCTACTAATAATATCACCATCTATTTCACCATCCGATATATCTAAAATGTGTACTCTTTTTTATGACTTGATCACCCAAAGTCACAAACCCCTATCTAGATCTATTACTACTAAAAATATACTCCACGTGTTCGACTTTAGATCTGCTCAAACGGAAACCTTGAGACTCTAAAGTTGACCTCCATAATTCGAGTTTTCCTTCAACTCCTTCGCTAGGCTTATCAACAAGAAGAATATCATCAACAAAAAGCATACACGATGGTACATCATCTTGCATATGTCAAGTAAGAACATTCATGACTAAAGCAAAAAGATATGGGCTTAAAGTTGATCCTTGATGTAATCCAACTAAAATAGAAAAATACTTGGTCAAACCACTTTTATATACGGCTCCTACATACATATCCATAATGACTTGAATATAAGCATTATTAACTCATTTCTTTTCTAGAATTCTTCATAGCACTTCTCTTGGAAACTTATCATATGTTTTCTCTAAATCAAAAACATGCTTCTCACATATAAAAGAGAGCACTAACAAGAAGTAATTTTTCGTTCACTTGAATAGTCAATGAGGGTTAATGCATTATACTCACAAGAAAAAAAGAAACTGTACAATCATTAATAATATATAGTTAATTACCTTCTGACTACTATGAGCCAACTAGAGCATACAATATCGAAGTTTAAAAGTTACCGTTACCTAACATTCGTTTTCCTGAACAAACTTATTATTCCAGGATCAATATTGTGAAAAAAATTTAGGCAACAGCAATAGGAAATGAAGAATTTGAAATCGGTAGTTGAAGGATCACCTTTATGTTAGCATACCATAAGTGATTACATTCTGTGGAAGGAGACAAAAGCACAGCTAAATCTGGATTCCAGCAGCCTAAAGATGCTAGATCCCCTGTCAGGAATATGAGTTGGCTGTCCCCTATGTCAGCTTCAATACTCCAATATATTTTGCACAATCCATTGCCTTGCATGGATGAATAACCTGAAAAACACATAAGTTTACACAAACCATGACATAACATACGATGTGCCCAAAGCCTCTTACATCTTTTATCATGTATATTTTTGCCCATGGTTTGAAAAGGATAGGCAAGCATACAAGATACTACTTAAGTCAGTCCCAGTAGAAAGGAAGACAAGTCTGTTTATATAACTTTTCATTTTAAGTAATGAAAGACTTTCATCATCATTCATAGTTTCCCAGAGGAAATTGGTTGTTAAAACAATTTTAGAAAATTTTGTGTCCTCACTACCACCCATAATAAGCACAATAACATATCTTCGCAAACCAGAAACTAAGCTGAAACAAAGGGAATGATTGGGATCACTTTTGTTTCATGTTTTATATTATCTATTTTTATTTTCTTTCACCTATGTTTTGATATGAAATAATACATTGTTGGTATCTTCAAAACATATTTTTGTTTATTTATGTGATAGTGGTGGCAATCAACAGCGGGACAATGGTGGCAGCTATCGCCAATGAGGCAGCAACATGGACGACTAGGAGATGATGAACGGCAGTGAGCGTAAACAGCAACAATAAATGTAAACAATGGTGGCGGTTACGGCAACAATGGTAGTGGTAACTAATGCTAAAAATTGTTTTTAAAAATTCTCAAAACACCCAAACATGTTTTAAAAAAATTTTAAAAACAGTTAAAAAGCACACTAAACAAATTTGCTATTTTAAATACAAAAACTAATCTCAAACAGAACCTCAGATATTCCAGGACTTAAGAAAGTACCATTCCTTATCGGCGTCGAAGGAGATCTAGAAAAGCAAGCATAAACTCCAACATGTAGGTTGATCCTCATAAAATTGTGTAATTGCATCAACTGAAAGGTACAACTGAAAGATAATGAACCAATCATTAACAAACAGTTCATATTAGCAAAGCAAAAATATGAACTACTTCCTAATCATTTTGTGATAATAAAGCAAAACAATCAAGATAAATGATAAAATGAAGATTGGGACAGAAGGTCAACTTTGAAGATGGCAACTATTTCAATCAGGCGGTGTATCTTCCCAAAAAAATTGGATCCCTTGCAGCTAGATGTGCGACAAGTGATACTAGAATAAATCAACAATATAAATACAGACTTGTTTTGGGTCCCTTGCAGCTAGATGTGCCTCAAGCGGTGCTAAGATAAATCAACAATATAACTAGACTCACCATTTACACAGAATTCACTTTTTTAATGTATTAAAGTTAAGAAAGACCCAAGAGCTGACAAACAATCCTGGTAAATGAAGTTTGGACTTGTTGAATACTTTATGGACATTTAGGATAACTCATTTAGAATACAAGATAAAGATATATATAGGGCTCAACTTCATTAATATAGTTCTTATTGAACCAAAACAATGATAACTTTAAAGTAACATTGAAATTATGGTTACTAGTTTACCCGTACTTACAAAATGCTTGGAACAGGCAAAAACTGCCAACAAAAATCAGACATGAAGGTCTAGAATTTAATAAAAACATGACAAAACCATTGGAATGCATGAGTTACTTCCATACTTGGTGGAATGGAAAAAACGTAAAGGCTTGCTTCATACATCCCCACTGCTCAGATCTAAGAACAAATCCAACACAAAGTTAGATATGTCTGATTTTTGTCTATTGTAGTGAGTCGCCAATTAGAAGAAATGGGTGTGAAAAAAGGACATTTGGAGTCTTAACGCAAAACAGAATATACAATTTCATGGTTCCTTAAGAAATCAATCGTTTTGGGTCCATTCAAGGAAATGTGCATCAGAGATGTAAGGACGTAATAACATTATCACAAATAAAAGCATCATACACAACTAGAAACAAGTTTTAACAGACATTTTTCATGGCTTGCTACATTTTATACCTAAATCCACCATCAAAATTCCCTAACAATATAAGTTTTGCACAGTAAACAAAGCAAGAGAAACTAAGCAATGCTTCATTGCAAAAGAAAAGCATTCCAAGATAAAGATTAAAGAAAGTAAAGAAATGACATTCGAACCACTTTCATTTAGACTTGCTTAATCATAGGGAATGCACCATGTGACTCACAAATGATGTTAATCACTCACTTCAATTGAACAATCGACTCTGATACGACTAATTTGGGGAATGAAACAAGGAGCCCAAGTCCAACTCACAAAGAAATGGACTAGCATCAATTCAAACCGTTAAACCACTCGATAAAAATCACACAAACAAATGAGGACCAAATCCCTTTTCTCACAACTACTGTAGGGCCGTTCAACCCACACATATGAACACCCATCAAACTTGTAGACTCTGCTAGAGTATTCTTAACAATGTTCAGAAAAAAAAGGACCATTTTGTTCTTAATCCTTTCATGTAAAAATGTGTCATATAATGTTATGTGTGGAATATGATTGTGTTGACCAATCGGATTGTTTTGTTCCCACGAACCTCAAGTTTCTTGTGCTTGCTGGGGGTCGCTTTCCAACCAAAAATATTTTTCCCCGACAACGTCACAATGTTGCGTGCCTGAGCGCCCCAGCACTACGTACTTGAGCCCCCCGGCGCTGTGTTCACCAGCTCCCCAATGCTAAATGACAGAGAACAGAGCACCACAGCAGCCTAGATATGGAACCACATCGGTTGAAGAGAGAGGCTAAAGCGCACTCTTGTATTTTGAGTTTGTAGACAGTGAGAACTATGCATGTGAGAAGAGAAGCAAGGAGAGAGTGGGAGAGAAGAGAGATCTGTAATTATTTCTCCCGATTTTCATAGGGGATTATTTGGTGTGGTGTGGCTCTGTGATTTTTTTCACTATTTTGAATTTTTCCATGTTAAATCCTGGTGTACTTTACTTTTCCGCTGATTTTACTTTCTTACTTGTTTTGTCATTGTCTTGATTGCTCCTCCTCGTCATTCCCAACATATAATAAAATGCCCACCAAGAAGTGATCAAAACAGGTAATATTTCACCTTCAAAATATATTAAAAAAAAACACACAAACCTTGCACTAAAAGCAGATATAAAAAGCTATCAATCTAGAAGAAAGGAATAATACGCCAAGGATTAAAATGGGATTTCTGAAAGGAAAACTAGCAAACGGGATTTCTGAAAGGAAAACTAGCAAACTAGCATTGAAATTCAACAACAAATAAAGAGGCAAAAAAAAGTAAATTTCATTACGGGAAAGCAAAACTATTAGTGGAAGCGAGATGAGACGACTCGAGGGAAGCCCTCCGGCCGAGGAACAGCGGGTGGAAGGCTCCGCAGAGCTCCATGGAGCGGCCTCCTAGGGATCCGGCCAGGCTAGGGAGAACAAGCGATGGATGGCAAAGAGAACCCATGTAAAACGGCGGAAACAAGAACTACGCTGAAGCGCATTCCGACAGAATAGTGCTTAGAGGAGGAGACGCCGAGCTCCCTCTCTTCCTCCACCAGTGGGAGAACGAAGAGATTGGGATAAGGTCCGGGAGCGCGGGTGAATGAACTGCAGCAGGGGACGGAAAAGCAGACATTTCTAAGCCGAATCGGACCGGGTCGGCTTATCAGTCTAACTCAAGTAAATGGTGTACTCGTGAATAACTACGAGGAATGCGAACTTACACGCAGCGACAGTGTTGGCGCGCTAAGATCTTCGGTTTTAGACCATCTTCAACAGAAATATACATTTTACACTTTAAAATACGTTAATATTTTAAAATATGATAATTTATCTTCAACTAAACTTTATTTTTATTATGTCTTAGAATATTCACGGCGGTAGAGAAATATAAATTTTAGCATCCTAATTTTATACGAAGATCAAGCATATAAAGAGGTGAAAGATATGTGTAGCATTCATAAGGGATATCAGAGTTTTTATATAGAAACCACAAAAAAAGGGAAAACCACGGGGTCTTGTCCACTTAAAATGAATCAACTAGTATTTGCAATTGGTTCGATGTAACAAATATACATCATATAGAGTGTATTATATGGTGGGAGTGGAAAGAAAAAGTGTTGACATGTTCATTTAGTTAGCAGTACCATAGTCGGTGAGCCAAGGTTGAAAGGGCCATAATCTAGAGACAGTGGTCGGAATAATTATAGTCAGCAGACAGTGGTTGAAAGACTGTAGTAGGGCAACGGTGGTAGGCAGGATTGTAGTTGACGGGCAACGAAGGTCGGAAAGACTATAGCAGTATGACAAGGGTCGAAAGGATCGTAGTCGGTGGGTGACAGAGGTCGAAAAGATCATAGTCGAAGGGCAATGGAAGTCAGAAAGATCGTAGTCGACGGACGGAGGACAGAAATATCGTAGTCGGGCAATGATTATTAGAAGGATTATAATCAAGAGATGATGGTCGAAGAGATCGTAGTCGGTGGGTGACGGTGGTCAGAATAACCATAGCCTAGTGATGGTCAGTGTCTGAGAGGGCATTTGATGAAATTTGGTGGATGGGCATAAGTTTGACGTCAGTTGGTGGTTGGGCAGAAGTCAAACGAAAGTTCAGTGAAAGTCGGTGGTCGGGCGGTGGAAGAAGTGGAGCTTGGTGGCAAAAGAGATCTCAAATGTCTCTTCCTTCTCCCTCTTCTCCTCCCTTTCTCCCCTTGCTTCCTCCTTGCTTGGCTCCCCTTCATATGAATAATGATGTTCTATTTATAATTTTTTTTGAATTGCATGGTCAGTAACTAGGGAGAAGATCAAAGGTAAGTTGGGAGTATTTCCAATGAACGGCCGATATCAACACCCTTGATTATAGACCATTTAGCAAGTATTTGTCTTGATGATTCAACAATCGTAGGCTCGTTGGATTCGTCTAGTCGAGCCGCTCAATTTGACTATAAGCATGTCACCTTTAGTGATCATTTGGACATCCAATTTATGGTTTGAACCTTCAAAATGGATCCATTCGTTCTTGGATTAAGTCGAATTTAGTGTCGTTGGGTTCGTATTTTTGAGACATTAAGTTCAACTATAAATTTGCTGAAATCGATGTTCAAACTGCCTGAATTTAATTTCGAAAGTTTACAACTCAAATTTACCTCAAGATTTGTGCCTGATCAAGATAAATTTTTGATGATATATCAATTTTATAATATATAAGGTATATCCTTTCTCCAACCAAACAAAAGGACTAAAAAAATGGCATTCGAGAACAGTGCGACACCTGGCGCAAAATACTGCTGAATCTGGCTTTCAGTTAGTTGGAGATGACCTTATGCTTCATTTGGGATGTCTTTTTTATTGTTTTGTAAAGCTACTTTTTAGTACAAAACTCTCATGAAAATAGGAAAAAATTTGTGATCTAAAACTGCCTTAAACAAAACCCTTAGATGTGAAAAGTTATTACATGCCAAGTCCGAACTTCAACCAAACTCTAATCACGTAAAGATAAATGAATATTTTTCCTCTAGTTTTTGTTCATGTGATGTGTACAAGAGAAAAAATTCATGTGTCTTCATATGATTGAAGTCCGAATAAAAAACTATATCTAAACTTCTCGGGTACTAATTTAATATCCGGATTCGGCATGTCAATTGATTAGCCAAAATCACTACATTCTAGCGCAAATTTGAATGATCAATTTCAGTAACTTTAGAAAATAATTTGAATGAGGGGGTTTTTCAGATCAAATAATTTATGAGGCTATTTGGCATTGGTATTTACTGCAAAAAAAAATTGTGAAGGAAGATTTTGAATTAGTACTTTGTTTGGATGATACGAAACATTTCATCAAAAGATGAATCGTTCTTAAATGAGTTGGATCATATTTGATTGAGAATGAAGCAATCTGTCCAATTCTATTCGTTTTCTATTTCATTGTGCGCACTTGTAATTGCCCCAATTGCTGTAGAACTTTTGTAGTTGTCCCATTGTTAATTCATAGCTAGTCACTAACCTTTTCATTAGTGTAAGTGTTCTCTTGTCATTTATGAGTTGTTTGATTACCTGAAAATAAAAATACAGTTTAAAATGAATGTAGTGTAAAATAAATATTTTGGAGTTATTTTGACACCGGCCAGGTAGGGGGCTCGACGAATCCACGTCGAGAATCCGGTGACGGTCGTCGGACACCGCTCCAAGAACTTCTTGGAGGAAAGATCCACCACCTAAGAATCACTCTTAGGATACATGAAACACATGAGACTAAACTCAAACTTTATTCATATCTCAAAATCTGTCATTACAAGCAATTGCTACAAGTATTTATAAACAATTAGGCCACATAAAAGGCTACATGCCTTAAAAGAAAGTACTACTCCTAAACAATCATATATCTACCAATTGGAATTAAAACTAGCCTGGAGTTAAATAGGATTGATCAGCTCAGCTCCGGCGTCATACTACCGGGGTAGGAGGAACTTCAGGCTCATAGGAAACTGTTTGGTTGGCCACCATAAGGAGGTGGGTTTGGTTGGCTAAACCGGTCTGGATATTTCCACCCGGTGTTAGATTTATATATTGTGGAGTCCATTTTTATCCTATGTTGCTCTAAACTTGGACCAACGCTTATCATTCTTGAAAATGATGAGTATGCGCTAACCAATGGAAGTTTATGATTTAACTTGCTTGCAGGGTGTAAGATCCCAGGGGGATCAACGGCCAAGTTTGAATGCATCTGATCTACTTTACCCATAGCAAGTAGAGCATGAGGTGCACTGCCCGGAACAGAATTAAAATATGCACACACCAACATTGGGGTGTCAGCACTAACTGCTATCTTTTCCAATCCTTTTAAGAGGGTGTGAACCTGCCAAAGCTTAACATATGTAAGTTCTTGGGGAACATTTACATTAGTATTAGCCACACAAAGAAGTTGTCTGCTCCCAAGACAATCAGCAACATGGTTGCTAAATTTGTCTTCAAGTACTGCTATCAAAGCAATATTATCTTTGATTACTCTACTCAAAGCAACTTTCTTCTGGTTAGTAGGAATAACAGCATCAGCCAGAGATTGTGCAGCTTTATTAAATTCAACCTCATATTTCTTGACATGAGAAAGCCTATCTCTTCGAAAATCGTCATCCACAGCGATCGTCTCCAAGGATTTTGTGTCGGAATGTATGAAGGTACCAAGATGGTTGTCGTGGTCAAGTTTGGTCATATCAATTCCATTGTCAATGAGGGAGAGAGAATTTGTTACCTTATCATGAATGATATTCATGAATAACTCCGGTTGGGCATCCTTCTTGCTCTCGTTGCAATCATATGTGGGTTGATTAAAGTCTAGAATTCTGTCAAACATGTCGTCATTATACACGTCATAAACGGGTTCATCAAAGATAGGCAAAGACGACGATTTCGATAGTGGATCTTCAAATTCTTCGAAGTTGAACTCGATCGAGGGTGGGATGGAAGAGATCTGATCTTCTACAATGCCCTCGTCGTTGTCGTCGGTTCGTAAGGATTTAGTTGGAACGAAGGATCTTGAATCCGTCATGGAAGCATAATTGTCCCGCGATTGGAAACTATCAAAGTCTTGGCCGAGGGTGCTCCAATCTGTCCTTTTTTCAAGCCTTGACAGCCGTCGTTTGAGTCGAATAATATTTTTTTGAAGATCTTCTATTTCTACGTGTCGAAGTGGTCGTTGACAACTCCGGCGAGGTGACATCTTCTGGAGCGAATGTTGCTGGAGAAGAATAGGTTTGACTACAGTAATAATTGATGTGATGTGAAGATCCAATGATATTACTGACCGAAGGAGGAAATGGGTGATCGATGTCAGTTCCACGAAGCCAAAGAGTTCTTTCTCTTTGATCACTGAACACAATTCCAAAAACAAAAGACTATTCTTGACGTGAAAATAGGACAAATTTTTTTTTTTTTTTTTTTTTATAAAATTTTTTTTTTTTTTTTTGAAAGAATCATCCACGAATCAAGATACCCATTGGAAAACAATTAAAATCAATGGGAAGATCTGGAACGTCAAGTTTGGGAGTCTGGAACTTGCCCAAAAGCAGGCCGAGATCTTGTTTTATCTAAAACTAGCTTTGCTCTGTCTGCCCGCCAACAACTTACCGGAGAACGTCCCTAGTGTGAGGTCGTCGGCGAGAAAGAGGCTGAGATACCGAGAAAGAGACAGAGATGAGGGCCGAGACCGGATCCTCGATGAAATCTGGCTGTGTCTGAAGATGATTTCACCTTTCTTGGATGGATTTGAAAATCGGACAGCAGCAAGAATTCTGTTTCTAATTGCTTTCTTGAGGTCCGCACCCAAGAACAAATAAAAGGTGGATGTCAGTGCTGCGGAGGAAGAACTGTAGCCACCGCTTGGGCTTCGCCACCAACACCAAATGAAGTCGATTCGTCACCGAATCAGTTCCGCTTCCGAGGCCGATTCGCCACCAAAGATGGGTTGCCACCAAATGACGCCAGTGGCAGAGGCGACACAACTACGGACAAGAACGCCAGCAACTTGCCGGCTCTGATACCAAATGACACCGGCCAGGTAGGGGGCTCGACGAATCCACGTCGAGAATCCGGTGACGGTCGCCGAACACCGTTCCAAGAACTTCTTGGAGGAAAGATCCACCACCTAAGAATCACTCTTAGGATACAAGAAACACATGAGACTAAACTCAAACTTTATTCATATCTCAAAATCTATCATTACAAGCAATTGCTACAAGTATTTATAAACAATTAGGCCACATAAAAGGCTACATGCCTTAAAAGAAAGTACTACTCCTAAACAATCATATATCTACCAATTGGAATTAAAACTAGCCTGAAGTTAAATAGGATTGATCAGCTCAGCTCTGGCGTCATATTTGAATGATTGTAAAATGAGTGCATGGGTTTTTTTTTTTAAATAAAATGAATGCAATTTAAAACATAAAAAAGTTGTGATTGGTGGCCAACATTGGCGGCAATTGGTGGCTGGAGGAGATTTGTAACAAGCGATGATGGGTGGCCACAGCGGTGGTGGCCGAGGAGGTGGATGGCTTTTCTTAGGTGGATGGTGGTGGTGGTGGCTAATGGTGGTGGAAGAGGTGGCTTAGGGCCATCCCATGGAAGCGATGGGTGGCGGCAATCGTAGTAAAATTTCAGTGTATTTGAACTTGTCTAAATTAGAGGAATTTTAAATATGTCAAAAATAAACTAAATGATGCATTCCAAATGAATCAAAATTCTACACAACATAAATTTTACTTCAAACCAAACACTAATATTTTTAAAACCCCTGTATTTGGAATACTTTACACTTCTTTTGCAGGCAACCAAACAGCCTCATAGTAAACTTTTTAACCATACACTGCATAAACCTTCCCACCATTAAGGATTTGCTTGGGACAACTTTCAATCACTGCTTTTTTGCCACTTTCAATAAATTTTGTACTAAAAGCTATGGTAAAAAGTAGTAAGAAAGTTATCCCAAATAAAACCTAAGTCTTTGTAACCAGTCCTAAGAGTATGTTAGTGATTGCTACACTCACCCCCAATGCTTGCAAGAGCTTAAAACTTTTCTCATCAATCTATTGCCCTATTATCCATTATAATTAACATGCCTTGAAAAAAATTCAATTTGAATAACAAAAATCCTCATAACATGTTTATCTTATAAACTTTCAATTGGGACATGGACTTGAGTTGGAAGGAAGCTTGGAGATCTAAAAATAATTTGAGCTCTACTTAATACTTAATATTGAGGATAAATGATAACCACCATCATCACCTACTTATCATTATCCAATAACCATTTTTTACTATTTTCATCAAACTGTCGCTCACTCCCATCATCCTACATCAATATTTTTCCATCCGAGTAACTTTTTTTTTACCATCATCTCTCGATTGCCATCATCTGATAACTGCCCTTCGTCACTTTATTGCTATTGTCCAATAATCATACCATCATCTGACCACTCATGATTGTCATCTGATTGTCATTATTAGACTATCATTGCTCAATTATTATCATTTGATCACTATTCCTGAATTGTTGTCCCCTGATTATTATTGTCTTACTATTAATGTCAGACTAGCATCATCTAACTATTACATCTTTAGCATTTTCCCTCATATTTATAAAAATGTGAACTTATAATATCATCTTTTCTAGTTGAGGGGTCACTACAGGAAAAACGCTGAAAACCGGCAGTTTTTTACGGCGGTTAGCCTAGATTTACCGGCGGTTTTTAATGTTACCGGCAGTCTAACGGCGGTTTGTAAACCGTCGGAAAAAATGGCGTAGGAAACCATTTCCGACGGCGTGTTACCGGCGGTTTATTTTTGCGGCGGTTTTCCGGCGGCTAGTACCGCCGGTAACCACCGGAATTTTAACCGTCGGTTTGCCGGCGGTTAGGCCGCCGGTATTGTAACCGCCGGTAAGCCGCCGGTCACGTTACC